CCCCCCCCCCCCCCTCCACACCTCCCCCCCTCTCCCTCGATCTAGACCGGCTGTACTACGCAACGCTCAGACGAAAGCCCAAGGTCTCGTCGGGCATTCATTGGTTCTGTGTCGACTCGACGTTGGTGTACGAGCCGTTTATCGCCGACTTTGGCCCGCTGCATCTGGGCCATGTCTATCGGTTTTGCAAGCTGGTGCAGGGCAAGTTGGACGATCCGTCGCTGGCGGGCGTCAAGCTCGTCCACTACTCATCGAGCAACCAGCACAAGCGGTCGAACGCGGTGCATCTCATGGGCTGCTTTGGTGTCGCCGCCCTGGGATGGAAGGCTGCCGATGCTGTGGCCGCCTTTGCCAACGTCTACCCGCCGCTGCTCCCGTTCCGCGACGCGTCGTACGGCCCGTCGACGTACAACCTCATCCACGACGAGGTCTGGCGAGGGCTGTATCGCGGCATGCAGTACGGGTGGTTCTCGCTCGACTCCTTTGACGTCGAGTCGTACGACAAGTACCAGCGCGTGGAGGGCGGCGACATGAACTGGATCGTGCCGAACCGCTTCCTGGCCTTTTCAGGCCCGCACGCGGCTAACACCTACGACCACGGCTACCGGCTTCTCACCCCCGAAGACTACATTCCGTACTTCAAGGCCAACGGCATCGACACCATCGTTCGCTTCAACAAGGCTGTGTACGACAAGTCCCGCTTCGAGTCGCGCGGCTTCAAGTTTGTCGACCTCTACTACATCGACGGTGGCTTGCCGACCGACGCCATCATCGACGCCTTTATGGCCGCCTGTGAGGCCTCGCCGTCCGCCGTCGCGGTCCACTGCAAGGCCGGCCTCGGCCGCACAGGCTCGCTCCTCTCGTTGTACATGATGAAGCACTACGGCCTGACTGCCTCAGAGTGCCTCGGCTGGCTCCGCCTCTGCCGCCCGGGCTCTGTCATCGGCCCGCAGCAGCACTACCTCCACGACATGGAGGCGCTCATGCACTCGGAGGGTGCCGACTACCGTGCCCGCCACAACATCGCCTCTGCCGCCGCAGAAGCCGTCGCAGACGCAAAGCTGGAGACTGCCCCGGTCTTTGAGGAGGCCCGCGCCGCTGCCGCCGCCGCCCGCTCCGCCTCGTCGTCATCTCGCTCGCGCTCCTCGCGCTCCTCGCGCTCCTCGTCCTCGTCCTCCCGCGCGGCCGCCGCCGCCCCGTCCACCCCGCCGCGTGCCGCCCATCCGGACGCCATGCCCGACACCCGCTCGCCGTCGGGCAAGATCCTCTCGCCCGGCGTCGGCTATGACACCGACCACAACACCACCTACTCGGTCCGCGACGTTGGCATGGGCTCGCCGCTCACCCGCATCCGCGACTCGCCCGGCGCCTCGCGCCGCTCCTCGCCCTCATCGCCGCTCCGATCCTCGACAGTGTCATCCCACGCACGCTCCTCGCCGTCCACCTCCTCGACCTCCTCTACCACCGCCGCTCCCTTTGTCTACCGCACCTCGCGCGGCAAGGTCTACTCGAACGCGCCGTCGTCACCGCTCTCGCCGCTCTCCTCGCCGGCCACCTCGCCGCTCCGTACTGCCTCGATCACCTCGCCGCTCCGCTCGACTGCCTCGTCCACTCGCTCCTCCCGCTCCTCGCGCGAGTACATGGGCTCGCGCTCAGCCTACGACTACTCGTCGCCGCGCTCATCGACCTCCACCTCCACCACCTCGCCCTCCATCCGTCGCGCACGCACCTCGGCCACCTCTCCCTATCGCTCCACCACCACCTCTACCTCGTCCCGTCTCTCCTCACCCTCCAAGTCGACCTCGTCCTCGACCTATCGTCGCCGGTAGCGAACCACCACCGTCCGTCCACCCTCTCTATCGCTCCGTCATCCAACACGACTTGAAAGAACCGTATCACTTGCATCGCCCCCCCCCCCCCCCCCCCTTGCCTCAGCCCCACCCACCACCACCCCACCACCCCACCACCCCACCACCACCATGTCCCTCCCTCCCCGCCTCACCTCCCTCCTCCTCACTGGTGCAGTGGTGGCCACAGCCGGTGCCCTCGCCTACGCTTACTGCGAACTCCTCGCCCCCTCACCGCCACCTCGTCGCCGGCGACAAACGACGACGACGACGACGACGACGGCCGCCACCACCACCACCGACACAGCTATACTTGATGATGCCACAGTCACGGGCCATGTCAGCCGGAATGAGTTTGATGCTGCTACTGCCTTTATGTCGTGTGCTGCTGCTGCCGAGATCGAGGTCGATTCGCAGACACAGCTCGAGCTGTACGCCCTGTACAAGCAGGTCCATGTCGGTGATTGTCATGCCCCTGCTCCGTCGATGCTCTCGTTTACGGCCCGAGCAAAGTGGGATGCGTGGAACAGTCTCTCGGGCATGTCCGCCACAAACGCCATGGCTCTCTACGTGGCCATCGTCGACAAGCTCGCCGGCACCACCTGGCGCGAGCTCTCGGCAGACGACATCGCTGCTGCGGGCAAGGCCGAGGCCAAGAGCCAGGCCATGGGCCCGCGTGTCTCCACCATGGCTCGCGACGAGGATGACGACGATGCTGAGGATGTCAAAGTCTCGGCAATTGCTGCGGCGGCGCGTGCCGATCATGACGACGCGCTGGCCGCGCCGGCAGGGCCGAGCGCTACCGCCGCCGCCGCCGGACAGGGCGAGCCGGGAAAGACCGGTAGCATGTCCGCCATGCGCCTGCTCGTCGCCAAGGCCAAGGAGGAGGGCGCGTTGAACGCACTCGATGGCACAGGTATCGCCCCGCTGCACGCTGCGTGCGACATGGAGAACCTCGACCTGGTCTCTGCCCTCATCGAGGCCGGCGCCGACGTCAACATCTGCGACTCGGATGGCTCGACTCCACTGCACTATGCCGTCGTTCTCGACAACGTCGCCCTGGCCAAGCTCCTCCTTGCCGCCGGCGCCGCAGCCTCGCTTGCGGTTGCCGACGATGATGGCCTTCCCGCCGACAACGTCTCCTCGGACGAGATGGCGGTCGCCCTGGCTGCTGCGGCCGCCGAGTAAAGGCTCGCGACGATGATAATGTAGGTTTACAGAGTCTGCGGTGCCGGAGCCTTTTGAAGCGCCGTCCGGTGGATGTGCTCCCACACCGTGGTGCCCGATGCAACGTCAAAGCTGAGCAGAGCCGAGGTCCGGCATCCAAAGCCCTGGTCCTCGGAAGACGCAGCGCGCGGAACACGCCAGTTCTCATAAACCACCAGCCACGCGTCGTAGCACCGACAAGCGCGGCGGACGGCAATCGACCGGAGCTGGATGTCGATGGGTGCGGCGGCAGCCTGCCCGTACTCGTCGAGAACGAGCTTTGTCAGCTGCGACTTGGAGTACGCCGCCCCGTTGGGCCGCACGATGACAAAGGCGTCGACCATGCGTGAGGTTAAGTACTCGATGTTCTCGGGCGACTTGGGAATCTCGCCGTTGGCCCACGCCGTGAAGAACCGGTGCATACTATCGACCTCGGTGAGTGTGTCGAGCGCGCCCACCGGCCGCCCCTCCCACAGCATGCCGTCGCCGTCGTCGTAGACCGGGACAAACTGCGCAGCCTTGAGCGCAGCCTGGGTCGCATCCGACGCCAACGCATGCGGGAGCGTCACTGTGATCATCCGCGTACGATCGATCGACGAGCCGCTGCGGAGCTCGTCACGGAGCGCGCCCACCAGCGCCGTCCCTACCCCGTTCCGCCGCTCAGACTCGACAACAACCCACGCCGAGACGGCAAACAGATCAAAGAGTCGGTTCCCGTGCAGCGCGCCCAGCAGTTTGTCGCCGCGCCGCGCCGTGACCAGAATAGCCGGCCCGGTCCCGGGCGGCGCGCCCGGCGGATACCCGAGCGTCTCCCACACACCGATGTTGTGCGCCTGCAGCCCGTCGGCGACCGCCGCAGCCGCAGCTTCATCCGGCGGCGACTGGAGCTCAAAGGTCACATCGTCGCCCAGCACCTCGGCCGCAGACGCCTCGGGCGGCGGAGACGCCTCGAGATCCTTTTCCAGCCACACGTTGCTTGCCGAGGCCGGCCACCCGGTTTGGGCGTGGCACCTCCGATAGCCGAGCCGCTCGTAGAAGGCTGGCGCTTGGTACGAGAGCGAGACCAGCGAGATCTTGGAGCCACCAGCGTCGACCACTGCACGCTCAAAGGCGTTGACCAGGAGCGTTCCCACGCCACGACCGCGGAGGTCATCGTCGACATAGAGGACATCAATCTTGGCTTTGCCAGAGACCTCGTCGAGGTAGCCTGTGAGGCCAGCGAGCGTGATGGAGTTCCGAAGGACAAAGACACCAAAGTGAGTCTTCTTGGACTTGTTCGTCGTCACGTAAGCAGCAACACCAGACGCACCACTGGCGAGCTCTCCTCGGACTTGAGCAACGAGCTCGGCAGATGGCCCTTTTTCCACAGATAGCAAAAAACGAGGTGTGCCAGAAAAAAGCTCCGCTCGGCCAAGTTCCGAAGGCCGGGGCTGGGACGCTGCCATGAGGAGGTACTAAAGACGACCTGTACTTCCTCCGCGACAAACCAAGGTCACCTTGTTGACCACCACTTGCTTCTTCTTGTATGTACACAAAGAGAAAACTCTGTCTCTTGCTCTGCCTCCCTACTCTCCCTCTGCCTCTGCCTCTCTCTCCCCCCTCTGCCTCCCGTCCGAACACCACCGCGACGAGTGGCCGCCTTGCCACTGCCATTCCGCCAAAACTTTGACACGCTTCCATTCCCACTGTCACTCATGGCTCGTCCACAGCATGACTCGTTGGCTCGAGTCACGCCAATGTTGCCGGAACTGCTACGACTCGCTTACGCTCGCAGGAGGCGGAGCAAAGCCAAGTGAGCCGGCTGGCTCCCTACTTTGCTGAGAGCTCCGATGGCGTCGACCCACCTACCTCTTTGATGACGATGCCGCCGACGACGACAGTGATGATGACGACGACCACGACGACGGCTGCTCTTTGGGCGCCCAAATCTTGACGTGATTTTGGCTCGACGCGAGCACGCGGCTGCAGATCATCCACACGCGGGTGACCTTCCCACCCGCACGATGTGCTGGCATAGAGGGACAGACGGTCGAGCCAGTCGAGCGACCGCTCGGCCGGCAACTGAGAGTGGTGCACTCCCTCTGCTGTGCCAAACCAGTGCCAGTGCCCCTCAATAGCGTCAACGCAAAGTCCGAGACCAGGTGATCATGTGCGGCCCTGGGGTGAAAGGGTGCAGGTCAAGGCGCCGCGTGTTCTAGGCCACGGGGACGCTCTGCTTGGGTAGACGTAATGTGCTTGATAATGAGAGGAGGCGCCGAAATGGTCATGGCCTGGGAATGGTGGGAAGACGCGCTGTGGATGTATGGATATCGGGGGCTGCGCGTGCTGTAAAAATACGACGCTATTCACGACCGAGATCCGGAACACGACGCCGTCCTCATGTCTCTGCAGGCTGAGAAGGACGAGCGCCAACAGAGCTCGAATGTATGACTGTAGTTCGACAACAGCTAGCTGTTGCACTCTCGACCCTTGGGCATCATGGTCGATTCTTTGGCCACACATGCTGAGCGCAGGTAGAGCTGGGGCGTGTTGTTTTTTCTTGCCGACATTATCAGGTCTTGTCACCCCAGCTCGTGTCGAGTACCCACAAGCCAATGCACTCACACCATGCATCTGTACTCGGCAATGATTGGAACAAGTTAGGAAGGACGACGCGTAGCCATGGTCGCCATAGTCGTCGTCTGCCGCCAATACGTGCTGTCGAGGCAACACCCGTCTCCTGCCGGCGAGGCCGATGGCGGCCGCGGTGAAAGAGCGATCGCTGGCAGAGCTGTGGCTGGCAACAGACGGTGTGGCGGTCGCCAATCTGGTGGTCAAGAATCCGGGCGTAGCTGCGGCGCTGCTCCCATCGACCAGCAAAGCCCGCGATGAGGTCAACGACGGCGACGATGACGACGTCTCGGACGAGGTGTTGCACAAGCTCATCGCCAAGATCCGGCGTGACAAGCATCGGACATTGAGCCATGGCCGTGAGGTGAGCGCGAGCGAGCGCGAGGCCCGCGAGGAAACGCTTGTTGCTGTTCTTGTCGCGCTCGGGCAGCTACTGCCCCAGATCGGATACTGCCAAGGCATGAACATGGTTGCCGGCTACGCGCTGGCCATGCACAACTTTGACGCCGAGCGCGGGCTGTGGACAACATGGGCCGTTCTCCGTCGCGGCGGCGGCTTGTACGCACCGGGCATGCCAGGCTTTGACGCCGGCATGGCCTGGCTCGCCACGGCCATTCCCACGGTTCTCCCGGCGGTTGCCGCTGCCATGGCTGCCGCTGACGTCGTCCCACTCATGTTCGCCTCGGCCTGGCTCCACACGCTCATGTCGCACGACTCGCTGCCGGCGCATGTGACTCGCGCGACATGGACGGCCATGGCAAGCGCCGAGCTGCCGCCGCAAGCTTGTGCAGCTGCGGGGGCTACCGGCAGCCGTCCGCACGTTGTGGTTGTCCTTGCGGCCGCTCTCGCGCTCCTCGCCTGCCTCGAGCCTGCGCTTGGACCTGCTGCTGTCGATACCATGGCCTTTCTCTCGGTCTTTCGCGACGATGAGCTCATCAAGACCATGGTTGAGCCGGCCGCCTTTGCCCGCGCCTTTGCTCCAGCCGTCGACTTTCTCTTTGCCGATCAGGCCGCACTGACACAGCTGATTTCGGCCTTTGCCGCGCCCTGACCTCGCCTGCTACCAGCCAACGTGATCTGCGACCGCAGACCACTCCGAACTCGGCCTCTATCGCCATCATTTCCAGCCAGGATGACATGCACGTGACCTTGCACCGCCGCCCGCTACCCACTCCTCGACTGTCCAAAGAGTGCACAAAGATGACACACTTTTTATACTCAGCTGACGTGATCCCGAGTCAATTGACCAATGAGCGGGAGTTCGCGGTCAAACGTGCGGAGGTCGCTGTCCGTTTTTCGAGCGACTCGGCCACATCAAAACCAAGGCGAGTTTGTTCGTAGTCGGCGCCCGCACACACCAGCACAAATCTCACTTGGCACAACACATCAAGTACATCATGTCTGCTGAAGCAACTGGACCGAACAAGGCTGTGCATGTCATCTCCCGGCCCGAGGGTATGGTGAGTGTTGATAACTTTGCTGTGGTGGAGGTCGACGAGCCGACGGCACCGACGGCAGAGGCACCTGTTCAGCTCAAGCTGGAGCATGTCTCGGTCGATCCGTACATGCGTGGTCGCATGCGCGATGCCAAGTCGTACATTCCGCCGTTTGCTCTCGGCGAGCCGGGTGCTGGTGGCGTCGTCGCTCGCGTCGTTGCTGTTGCCGACGATGGCGAGACGGCCGGCCTTGCCGCAGGTGATCTGGTCGTCGGCATGCTCCCGTGGGTCCTCCGCCAGAACGCCCGTCCCGACGGCCTGACAAAGGTTGATGAGGCCGTCCTCGGCGGCGCGTCCAGCTCGCTCCTCCTCGGCGTCCTCGGCCTCACGGGCCTCACTGCTCTGCTGCCCATCGAGAAGTTCTCGCAGCCCGAGGCTGGCAAGGTCGCCTTTGTCTCGGGCGCTGCCGGCGCTGTCGGCTCGGTCGCCGGTGCCGTGCTCAAGGCCAAGGGCTGCACCGTCTACGGCTCCGCCGGCTCGGACGAGAAGTGTGCTATCGCCCAGGCCGACTGCGGCTTTGACGCCGTCTTCAACTACAAGACCGTCGGCTCGCCCGGCGAGGGCCTTGACTCGGTCCTCGACGGCAAGGCCATCGACATCTACTACGACAACGTCGGCGGCGAGATGCTCGACGCGGTCCTGGCTCGCATGGCGCCGAACGGCGTCATCATCTGCTGCGGTGCCATTTCTCAGTACAACAAGAAGCCCGAGGAGCTGTACGGCCTCAAGAACTACTTCAACATCATCGGCCGCTCGCTCAGCGTCCACGGCTTTATCGTCACCAACTGGGCCAACGAGTTCCCCGCCGCCATCGGCCGCCTTGCTGGCATGCTCCAGGCCGGCCAAATCCCGGTCAAGGAGACCGTCCGCGAGGGCTTTGAATCGGTTCCGGCCGCCTTTGTCGACCTGTTCAAGGGCGCCAACGTCGGCAAGATGATTGTCTCCAAGCTGTAGCCGGCCGCGTCCCCACGCATTACACCGCACATTTCTCTTTCCCAACTACAAAGAGTGTCTCCTCCTGCGCTGCGCTCACTCACACCCGGGGCTCGTTTGCCGGCAGTGCCGCCAGCGGCATCTGGAACAGCAGCGGACTCGCACCGTTGACGCCGTGGCCCAGACCCTGGTCCTGACCCTGATCTTGCATCTGCACCTGCATCTGCATCTGCATCTGCATCTGGAGCTGGTGCTGGAGCTGGTGCAGCATCTCTTCCGACAGCTCCTGTCCTCCATGCGAGTGTCCGCCGCCACCGCCGCCGACGTGACCGCGGCCGCCGTGTCCATGACTGTGGCCGTGATCGCGCCCGTGGCTGTGGCCATGTGAGTGGCCGTGATCATGCCCGCAGCCAGAGCCGTTGTGCCCGCCGCCTCCGCGGCCTCCCCCGAGCAGCGACTGGGCAGCGACGACGATGCCACCGATGTAGACCATGGGAATGTAGACCGCGAGCAGCTGGTCATACGACGAGTACAGATAGCGGCAGGCAGGAAGGGTATGATGGGCGAGATGGGCTTCGACGTAGTGGCCGATGATACCAGCGAGAAGGATGACCAAAGCCAGCGCCATGAACAGCGGCTTTCTGAGCAAAGGAAGCAAACCACGAGAACAAGAAGATGGACCGTTCTTCACCATCATCATCATCATTGATGGGAAGATGACCATGCCACCAGCCACCAACATCATCATCGAGGAAAGGGTGAATGACCACCATGTCAGAGTGGTGCCACAACCACCTGCCGACCTCATGCCCGTCAGCCCAGCCCAGCCACATACACACACAAAACAGACTCGAAGTACACTCGCTCGCTTGGGTAGCCCTATCTGTGGAAGACTCGGACCCACTACTCTCGCCTCGGCCATCTCGTCCCTGCGTGCAGTGTACCGAGTTGCCCTCCCGCTCTCCGCTCCCCGCTCCCTGCTCCCTGCCCTGCTCCAGCCTCGGCCCCACTCTTGATGCGCTCGTCCACCGTCCACCACCAAACTCGAGCCCATCCACTGCATCACACCGATCGTAGCATTTGCAGTATCAATCGAGAGGAAAGGGTGTGATCGATGTTGGTTGAGCACGGTAATGACGATGATGGCTGGTACCGTGTCGTATTGCGCCTTGTCCAGACCGTCGCGAGATGCGACGCATCATCATCACAAGGAAGGGTAAGCGAGGACGGGCTTGATCGATGTCGGTTGTGCAAGAATAAGCCTGCCGCCTGTAAGTATACCTGCCCCCTCACCTGCCCGACCTTTGCCGCTGCGTTGGTACCATGCCTCATCCCCCACCCACACACACATCGATCAACAACGTATATTTGGTCAACAACAAAACATGGCAAGATCAAGCCTAGCCATTGCCGCGGTAAGCCAACGCCAAGCAGCGGAGCAGCTCGATTGGGGGGCGTAGCAGCTCGATCGGGGCGTAGCAGCTCGATCGAGGAGGGAAAGACGCCTCTTTATCACGGCGTTGCCGCATTTGCGACACCCACGTGGGCGGCGAATTCACGTTGGTCATCCAACCCGTTTGCCAGAGAACCATGAGCGTGCCCATGGCCGGGCCGACCTTCTCCACCAAGCACACCACTCTGCCAGGCACAAATACAGTATGCAACAAGTTATTGTGGTGGGCATTGTGATTTGCCTCTTTCTGGGGCATACCCATGCCAATGCGCGTGTGGCTCACTTTGCCATGCCGTCATCTGTTCCTTCTGGTCCGTTGACAGCACCGCCGCCACCCAACAGTATCAGCCATAAGGTAGCTGGTGTTCGTAGTGATGGGCAAGAGTCGATCATGGTCTATCGCACGAGTGCTGGTCAAGTTCATATCGTCATATGTACCCATGCTACTCAATCATGCTCAAACGTTCGTGTTCCGGATGTTGAGGCCGTTTCGCCGTCGGCCGTCCAAGCTGTAGCCTTTTACAACTCGGGCAACTCAGTGGCCATGGTTGTCAAGGCCTCGCCGACTACCCTATTCTTCTGCTCACGGGACGGCGCTACGTGCACAAGCCGCCCCATCTCCGCCCCGTCGACCTTCGCAACTCCAAGTGCTAGCATGCATGCACGCCTCATCGATCACGGCCAGTTCATCACTTTGGGCGCCTCCGAGACGTTCAACTCCCCGTTCATGTTCCTCCGATGCGCTGCTGCTCCACCGCACGAGTGCGAGGCCCGGTTTGAGCTCAATGGCAACGTTACGTCGCTGCAATCCCTCGGTCAAAAGCATGCCCTCCACCCCACCGCCGATGGCGCCTTTGTTCTCTTTCCCGTCGAAAACAAGGGGGTGGTCACCGCCAAGGCCGTCCTCTGCTCGCCGCTCTACTCGTGCTCGGTCAACGAGATGACGTTCTCCGTCTCATCGCTGGCCACCACCACCACTGCGTATCATTCTGCTCGCAACCTGTACTTTGTCGGCGCTAGCTCTGGTGGTGTCCTTCGGCTTCTAGTCTGCAACGCATCCAGTCCGTGCTTCGCTCTCACTCTCGACACTGGTTCGTTTACCAGCTTCAACGGCATGCCGCTCCAGATCCACGTTTCGGCCGAGCTCGACGACGTCGTCATCCTTGCTCCGCACGACGTCACCTACGCCTCGGTCGCCGTCCGCGAGCTCATTGCCATCCACTGCAAGCTCGGTGATCTCCTCGACCGTGGCCTCTCCACCACAGATGCTTGCTCTATCGAGAACCTCTCGGCTGTGCTCCGCGACCCCTCCGCGACGCCGGTCGCCACCGTCTCCAATTCGCACTTTGATCGCGCTTTTGCCGCAGCTGCCGTCGCGCCCGTCGTCAGCATCTTCTCCAAGAACGCTGCTGAAGAGATCGTGTTGTGGACCATCGACCGCTCACCCTGCCCGCCGGGCCACGCCTCGACGCTGCTCGCATGCAACCCGTGCCCGGCCGGCACCTACCTTCCGACAGGAGGCCAGAAGTGTACTGTCTGTCCCGCCGGCACCTTTGCCTCGGACATCGCCTCGACCTCGTGCACACCATGTGCCGGTCCGGGCACATGCTATCCGGGCTCGACTGCTGACACCTCGCTCTCCCAGACCGCCATCGCGCCGCAGCGTGCCTCCTCGCTCCGCCGCAACGAGACCACCGCCTTTGAGCCCACCATCTTTGCCTTTGCCGAGTCCAACTTTCGCAATCCCGAGTACGTCAATGAGACCACGTTCGTCCTTGTCATCGTATGGGCTGTCATCGCGGGCATCGTCATCCTGGTCTTCTTTGTTTTTACCGTCGTCTCCTCCCGTACAAATATCGAAGACACATCGCATCCCTCGCTCATGGGCCGCGCCGTTGCCGCCCTCGCCGCATGTGACATCTTCTTCCGCGTCAGCGCAAAGACCGTCCCTGCTGCTGACGCCCCGAATGACGACGGCCTCAAGGCCCGTGCTCGTGCCACCGTCAAGGTCCTCATGCAGCACCGCTCACCGCTCGGCGGTGTCCTTGCCCTCGTCACTATGCTCGGCCTTGTTGTCGTCATCCTCGCTCTCTCGCTCAAGTTCTCCATGGATAACGCCACCATCACCCCGTCGCAGCGGCCGTCGGGCATTGCTCCGGGTGCCACCTTTACCCTCCCGCGCATCCGCGTCACCGTCGACGTCTACGGCGTCGATACTGAGCGCAACTGCATCGCCAACGACACCACGAGCTGTGCGTCCAACATCGCCGTCACCGCCGCCAACGTCGCTGCTGCAGAGTCCACCTCATCCTCCTGCTCCGTCCCGCAGCAGTCTATTTGCCGCGTCTCGTGGCTCTGTGAGGCCTGCACCCTCGTCGAGACCCCGCAGGTTAACGTCGATCTCGGCTCCGCTGTCCCATTTGTCCGCAACACCCTCGTTGCTGTCGAGCTCGCCCGCTCCGACCTCGCCTTTGGCGTCGAGGGCGGCTCATCGCGCGTCGAGTTCTTCCTTGCGCCCTCGACTGCCAACCGCGTCTTCCAGAAGTCACCGCCGGCCCCACCGGCCTCCATTCTCTCCTTTGTCGGCTACGCCATGCAGACCGTCGACTATCGCGCGTCCGAGTCGAACCCGTCGCGGACCCTCGGCTATGGCGTGACCGAGGGCCGGCTCGAGCTCCGCGGCTCCGAGGTCAACGAGGACAACATCGTCTTTGTTCCATCGCCTGGCGCTACCGCCATCACTGTCCGCATCCTCCCGGCCTCCTTCCATACGATCACCGAAGTCCGACAGGTTCAATCGTTCCTTGCATTTGCTGGTGTAGTCGGTGGCGCCGCCTCGGCTCTTCTTGGCATCGGCACCCTTGTCGTCAAGTCCATCGAGCGCTTCCGCTCCTGGCGTAAGCGCTCGTCCAAGGACGAACCCGGCTCCAGGCTCTCTACCGACGACTCGGACGACTACACGCTCCTCTCGTCCTCGGCCTCGCTCTCGGACTCAGACTCGCCGGCCTCGGCCCACCCGCTCAAGTCGTCCAGCCCTGCCGCCAAGCCATCGTCGCCTGCCGCCAAGCCACCCGCTTCCAAGGCTTCTTCCAAGACCGCAACACCGACCTCCAAGGCCAAGGCCAAGGCCAAGGCCAAGAGCAGCAAGTCCAAGTTGTAGCGCCCGATCGGAGTGGCCTCGGTCTCTGTCTCTGGGCGCCAACGACTTGTTGGGAGCCTTACCTCCCCCTCAAAATGCCCGATCCAGATGCATATCACATGTCCCACGCGCCGATGGCCTCTACTTCCAAGTTACACACCTTTTACCGCTCTATACTTTCGACCCTTTTTCTCCCATCCGTGTCCTTGAAGCCACAGCTTGTTGATCCGCCCAGGCGCGTCGGTCAACTCCGTCCGCCCAAATCCCGTCCACGCCCAGCCCAAGCTCATACCGCCCCAAACACCTAGACATGTCGACTCACATCACGTCTCTGACCAACCACCGTCCCTCACGCTTACCCTGTAACGCTGCGAGTCTGTACCGACTCGGTGCGAGCATCTGTCGCCGCCACCTGGCCCATCGCGCATCACCTCACCTCACCGCTACAGCTCGCCACACCCCGCACCCAAGCACAGATCTCATCATCCTGCTCATCCGCCCTCACATGGCCGAATTGCGCGAGTACAAGCTCATGCTGCTAGGCGACGGCGGTGTTGGCAAGTCGAGCCTCATCGTTCGATACACCCACAAGATGTTTGTTGAAGAGCTCGATCCGACTATCGAGGACAGCTATCGCAAGTCCGTGATCATCGACGATGAGGCAGGCCTCATCGACGTGCTTGACACAGCACCCCAAGAGCACCTGAGCGCAAGGAACGATCGCCCTCTCCGCCTGCACCAAGGCTTTCTCCTTCTCTACGATATCACTAGGCGCAGGTCGTTCGAGGAGCTGGCCAGCATCCGCGCCAACGTTCAAAGAGCCAGGAGCGAGCCGCACTTTCCTCTCGTCATTGTCGGTACAAAGTGCGATCTTGACGAGCTCCGAGTCGTCGACGCTGCCGAAGCCGCCACACTTGCGGAAGAGTGGGGCGCCGGGTTCATCGAGACCTCGTCCAAGTCTGGCGTCAACGTTGATCTTGCCTTTGCGGAAGCCGTCCGCGCCATCCGCAACACCGACAGCCTCAAAGCTGGACAGTCCAAGAAGAGCAGCAAGTGCTTAACCATGTAACGCACCTGTGACCATCATCACAGCGTACACGCCCTGGCTCTCGTGACTCCCATCCGCTAGCTCGCGCACAACCTCGACACCGCCGCAGGCGTCGATACGGCCGAATCTCTCAGCGTTCAGCTCATCGAGACCACCACAAAGTCCAACTACAGTCTTGATCTCGTCTTGCTCAAACCGATCCACTCCATCTGGAAAGCAGACGCACCCGCCAATGCCGGTCAATCTACGCGGATGGGGTGCCGACTTGATCTCACTCCCGTTCCCTCCGATCGCACCACAGGCCAATCCCAACACACTTCCTCCCCCACAATCCCAGTTGCATCACATGTCAGATGTGCTAAATGATCCCTTTTCCGGCCTTCATCGCCTGCGCCGACCAACTCGAGTCGACTCGGCTCAACCCGACCGAGTTTGGCGCGAAGCCGGGCGCGACGACTCGACGCCAGACACGTCACCACCCACCCCACAAGCAACTCAGACACAACCTGGCTCATACTCGGCCCCACGCTAGTACTACTACATTTCTAGAGTCTGACAAAGTCTCGAGTCTCTCGTAGCAATCTGTGCCTCACGAGTGGAGCAAGATGCGCGCCGGCGTGTGGGCGGCGTGCCTTGCGGGCCTTGCGGCAGTTTCGGGCACTTTGATACTGATTCTATTTTCGACCACAAATCTCTGGCAACCCGCACCGAGTCACTGGACGCATCCATCGGCGCTGCTCTTTGCTCTTTTGGTGGCTCTGGCGGCAATGGCTTCCACTTTGGCCATCGGATGCGGTCTCCGCGCCGCTTGCACAGAGCCAGGGAGCCCCGCACCGTCCGCGTACTCTCTGGGCGGAGCATCATCATCGACGAGGGCCATGTCGCGAGCCGAGGAGCTTCAGCCGCTGACTCCACCGCGCGATGCGTATGTCTCGCGCCAGCACCCTACACTATCGACTGCGTCGCCCGCCTTAGTGCGAGCCCTTGATTTCGGCGCGCCTGCTACTGCCTACAGCGGGCTCGAAGGAATGTCGGCGTTTACCCATGCACCTGCCGCGGCGCCGGCCACCCCGGTCGACGTTGGCAAGCACGGCTGCGGCAATGCGAACAGCGAGCGGATGCCAGTCGAAGAGGTGGTGGTCAATCTGGGGCCGATCGATCTTGCCCCGTCGTCGTCGTCGTCGCAGCTGACCGAAGACGGACTGGATGACTGGCCGGCGTCCGGCAGCGCGAGCTCCGAGTCTCCTCAGTCGGTGCTTCCGGATCCAAGCACCCCGCCTGTCCACCGCCTTGCCGCGCTGGCCTCGCGTTCGGATCCGTGGCTCCGCCCGCCGGTCACCGAGCTGACCACCAATCCGGGCGTGCTCGCCTCGCCGCTCGCCGCGCCTCGCCTCGACACGTCGGTCATGTGCGACGCTGATGACCTCTCGTGTGGGCTGGGTGACGAGTCGGCCTCGGACGCAAGCGACTGTTGTGATTCGTCGCCGGTGCCGGCTGGTGCGCCTGAGGACGCCACGCCGCTCAAAATCAAGTCACAGCCGCGGACGGCTCGATGGCGCAAGGCGGCGCGATCGCCGTTTGCAGCACAGCGCACGCCGCTCGGCGACGTAACCAACGGCTGAAGACCGAAATGATAAGCGCTCACAGCCGAGTCGAAGGCGGAACGTGGGCAGCGGCAACCCGGGCCACAGCGCGGCAAAACTCTCGTGTATGCAGAATGAACGACGACGCGTGGCCACCGACGCACCAGGTGATGGCCGACTCGGGGAGCATGAGGTGCTCGTGGAGGGCGATGCTCATTTCCGGGAGGACAAAGCCGTCGTGGACTGCCGACAGCGCCTCGATGCGGCCAGGCACTTGAGTGGCAATCGGGAGCGGGCGAACCGCGAGCGAGGCGTCCTCGCGGAGGTACGCCGCAAGCTTCGCCCGCGCCGTCTCGGCATCGGTCCCATCGTCGGCGCCAAGCTTGGCGTAGTCAACGGTGCGGCCCATGACCGTGGCCGGATCGGCAAAGACCCGCTCGGGTGAGACTGGCGCAAAGCCGACAACTAACCCGGTCTCGTACGGCAGCGTGGTGGCCACGATGGACGACATGAGGCCGCCGTACGAGAGGCCGCCGACCACCAGGTTCGAAGCGCCGATGTCATTGCGGAGCCACTCGAGCATGGCCCGCTGCTCGTGGGCAATGACCGCGGCCTGCGCCATAAGGTCGGCCGCGCCTTCGAACCGCGCCGCGTTGCCGGTCTTGCGGTGTGCTGCCCGCCGCCGGCCGTACATGGGCGCCTCGATCATGACCGTCGCCACCCCGTGCTTGTGTGCCAGCGGGATGCCGACAGCTGTTGTCGGGCGAGAAAAGCCCTCGATGCCTGACGGTGGTGCGCCCACAAGCACTGCCTGCTTGCCAGCGAGAAACGCTCCCGGATCGTCGGTCACCACTCGGGCCATGGCTCTCTCCGATGCAGCGAGCATGGGCACGGCAGCGGCGAGCTCCGGCGACCAACCCGGTGAGGCAAAGGAGAAACCAGCAGCATACACTGTATCCTCGGCATCTTGACCGCCATAAACAACCTCCCATTCGCCATCATTCCAAGTAACCTCGACATCGAGCTCGCCACTCGTCCACACATCGGCTGGCGGATGAAGCATGCGGCGAGTGAGCGCGTCAACTGTCTCCAGCTCGCCCCATCCGCTCTCTGAGCAATTGAGGCCATCTGCATAGAACTTGGTACCGAGTTGATCGACAGCTCCAAGTGCCCTTCCAAACACATCTGCAATGACTCCCACTCCACTTCTCGGCTCAGAAATGGCCTTCTTCCCCAATGCCCGCGTTGCACTCGCCAGCCTCCCGAGCACCACGTTCATCCGCAACTGTTAATTGGAGTCAATTGCCACAGCAACCGGCCGCACCCTGGGCTGGCCAACCGGCCAGCTGCCGCTTCTGCTCACAGCCACGAATCGCCACAGAGACTAAGATCAGAGACTCTTCGCCATGCTTCGGCCATGCGGCATGGTGAGGCGATGGCAGAGCTAGCTACCAAGATCGTTGGCGAGCCAAGTCACGGGGCACCAACGATCAACTCAACAACAGATAATTGATATCGTCACAATAGCAAGCACAATACACAACAGCAGCTCCATACATTCATCGACCGATGCCCTCACCCAGACCATCTCCGCCTTGCCTTCCTTGATCTCTGACCTCTACCCGGTGACCTCTGCCCCATCACCATGCCCAAACCCATGCCCATGCCCATGCCCATGCCCATGCCCATGCCCATGCCCATGCCCATGCCCATGCCCATCACCATCATCGTCACATGCCCATCACCATGCCCATGCCTATGCCCATCACCATGCCCATGCCCATGCCCATGCCCATCACCATCATCACCACCATCACCATCACCATCATCGTCACAACCACCATCACCATCATCGTCACAATCACCATCACCATCATCGTCACAACCACCATCACCATCATCGTCACAATCACCATCACCATCATCGTCACAACCACCATGCCCCCCCCTTCTCCCTTCAACATTTTCGACTACGTCAACGTGACGACATCCGATTCGCCACGCCACGCCACGCCACGGCAACCACTGGCACCAGACGACACCGGATGGCTGACTGGTACACTCAACTCAAGACGACAAGACAATGTTGAGCATGCAAGACAAAAGACATACGACAAGGACGATACTGGCAATGGTGGTGGCACTGGTGGTGGCAGCTTGCCTCTCGGGTCAGAGCTCGGGAAAGGTGCTTAGCCTCGAGACCGTGCCTCAGCCGCTGAGGGAGATGCAGTATGCTGTTCGTGGAGCTGTGGTTTCGCGTGCTTTGGAAATTAAGGCACAACTGGAGACGGATCCGGACTCGCTTGACTTTGATGAGCTGGTTTGGTGCAACATTGGCAATCCTCAGGCTGTGGGTCAAGAGCCCATCTCGTACTTTCGCTCTGTTCTCGCCCTGCTAGAGATGCCGTCGCTGGCAGACTCGGGCTTGTTTGCTGATGATGTGGTGGCGAGGGCAAAGACTCTACTGGCAAACTCGCGTGGAACCGGTGCGTACACTCATTCCAAGGGCATGGCTTACATCCGCAAGCGCGTCGCCGAGTTCATCACTCGTCGTGATGGTAATGTGCCGGCCGATCCCGAGTCCATCTTCCTCACCAACGGCGCGTCGCCGGCCATCCAGGCCGTCCTCGCCCACCTGATCGCCTCGCCTGCCGACGGCATCCTCGTCCCCATTCCCCAGTATCCGCTGTACTCGGGCGCCATCGTCGGCCTCGGCGGCTCGCTTCTCGGCTACCACCTCGACGAGTCCATCGGCTGGGGCCTCAACATGGACGAGCTTGAACGGGTCGTGGCCGAGGCCAAGACCAACGGCGTCATGCCCAAGGCGCTTGTGGTGATCAACCCCGGCAATCCGACTGGTCAGATCCTGACCCGCGACGAGATGGCTGCTCTGGTCGCGTTCTGCGGCGAGCACAACCTTGTGCTCCTCGCCGATGAGGTCTACCAGGTCAACGTGTACGAGCCTGAGCATCATCCGTGGTACTCGTTCAAGTCGGTTCTGGCGGCCGCGCCCGAGCCGCTGGCCTCGACCGTCGAGCTCTTCTCCTTCCACTCCATCTCCAAGGGGGTCATTGGCGAGTGCGGCCATCGCGGCGGGTACATGGAGGTTGTCAACGTCGCGCCCGAAGTCATGGCCCAGCTGTACAAGTTCCGCTCCATCTCGCTCTGCGCCAACACCGTTGGCCAGTTCCTTGTCGAACTGATGACCAACCCGCCGGTCGAGGGCGAGCCGTCGTACCCGCAGTACGCCGCCGAGACGAGCGCCATCTTCGACTCGCTCAAGCGGCGGGCGGCCCGGCTGACGTCGGCGCTCAACGCGCTGCCGGGCATCTCGGTTGCTCGCTCGCCAGGCGCCATGTATGCCTTCCCGCAGTTTACCCTCCCTGCAGCTGCCCTCGACGCCGCCGCCGACGCAGGTATGGTGCCGGACGTCTACTACGCCATGCGCCTCATCAACTCGACCGGCATTGTTGTCGTCCCCGGCTCGGGCTTCAAGGCCGAGGGTGAGACCGACGCGCCTTTCCACTTCCGCACCACCTTCCTCCCGCAGGAGGACGCCATCGAAAAGGTCATCGAGCGCTTCTCTGACTTCCACCTTGCGTTCATTGACGAGTTTGGCGGACACGAGGATCTCTAGATTTACGTCGAGTAAAGGCCACGGCACTACGACGAGTCCGAGTACGAGGCCGAGGCAAAGGTGTACTCGTCCGAGCCGGACGTGAACGACGAGCCAAGCGACGGCTCCGAGTCGATGTCCGAGACGTCAAGCGAGTCGACGAGCTTGGAGCGGTGGAAGTCGCGCGGGGCGAGGAGGGCCGGATGCGGGTCATCGGCGTCGACAATCTCCTCCATCCGCGCGTAGAGCTTGTCCATGAGGCGGCGCGAAAAGTAGGACCAGACGCCGATCTCGCGGAGAAGGTACTCGAGGTCCTCCTGGTCGAGCGGGTGGTAGGCGATGGCCGTCGGGTTGGCAGGGTTCAGGTACTCGTCGGCTTCCTCAAAGGCCGAGAACGACGAGTTGTTGGCCCACAGGTCGTGCCAAAAGACAAACCAGACGGCGTTGCCGGGGTGGGCGTCGAAGAACCGCAGTCGCTCGTAGAGGAGGCGGAGGCCGGTGGCGTGGCGCTCCGGAAGAGTGCGAAGAAGCTCGTTCTGCTCGTAGTTGCGGAGGTAGGCCACGAGATTCTTGTACGGCACGTACGACGAGTTGTAGATGTGGTAGTGAAACTCGTACGAGAGCGTGGAGGCCTTGTGGCGGAACTCGTTGAGCCAGTGCCGCCGGTAGTCGTGGAAGGCCCGGAGCACCTTCTTGTGCCGCGGCTTCCAGATGGCCTGGTTGTCGACGTGGTAGAGGAGCCGCTGGATCTTCTTGGTCTCCTCAAACTCGTTGCGCTTGTTGTGGCCAAAGTCCGTGTCGCGGAGGAGAAGCGGCTCATCGGTCCAGTGGCCGCCTGCGTCGTCGTCGCCCTCGCCGTCTTGGTAAGCAATGGTAAAGCCAAAGCCCTCGGACATGTTGAGGATGGCGCCGTCCGAGGTCTGGAACGGGTTCTTGCGCTTGTATCCGGTGATGCGGAGCTTGCCGCGGCGGAACTTAAAGTCGACAAAGACCTTGAAGCGCTTGGTCGTCGACCCGCGCCGCTCCTCCTTCCACTTCTGGATGCGGGCCTTGTGGAAAAAGTACACAATCTTGCCGTCGAGGGCCCGGATGCGGGTCCGGAGGTACCGGCGACGCATGATTTCCGAGAACCGATTCTGGTCGATAAACTCGCGGAGGCGGGCCTGCTCGCGGAGGAACACATGGTCGTCGTCGTCGTCATACACCATGACGACCGTAAAGGGGAACGGCAGGGCGTAGGCGCGACCAAAGCAAGTGAACGAGTCGAGCTCGCCGTCCTCGGGCATGCCCTCGTAGTACACGTCGAGGCCGACAATGTACTTGAGCACGTCGTGCTGGATCTGGAGCGCGCTGTCCGAGTTGGAGTCGAGCACGGCGTGCTCATAGGCATGGAAGCCGACAACCTCGACAATGCGCTTGTTCTCAAAGTGCCGCTCACCGACGGTACCCTGAAAGTTCTGCAGGTACGGCGCAGTGTCGGCGGCTGTAATGTCCGACTGCTTGGCGGCGGCATCGGCAAAGAGCGATGCGCTGGCCGGGCGCGCAGCGCGGCCGTCCGACTCTGACGTCGACGAGTACGAGTCAGAGGCTTCGCGGATGGCTCGCTTGGTGTTGGTCACCGAAGGCTGGGCAAATGCCCACTTTTGTGACTCGGGCGGCTTGAACTCGTCATGAACCATGAAAAGCCCGTCCCAGAACTCGTGCCAGATCCGCTGCTTGCGGGCGGTGAGGAGGTTGAGCGAGGGCGAAAAGAACAGGTCCCGCGAGGGTTTGCGCGGGTCAGGCGTAAAGGTCAGCATCTTGAACGTGTTCTTGCAGCACTTGGCAAAAAACGAGACGCCGGTAAAGAAGAGCAGCGCCATGAAGAGCAGGTTGAGGACATGGAGGACGTTGAGGACAATGCCCCAATTGGACTCGTCCCACACGTCAAAGACAAGAATGAAGCCGATGAACGCCGTGAGGACCGAGGTCACACGCCCGCAGCGATCAATAAGATCGTTCTCGCGGAGGAGGAACGGCGAGATGCGGAAGGCAACGGCAGCAAAGACAACCATGACGAGGAGAACGCCCGAGATCTGGATCACCTGCAGCGCGCGCGATTGGCCCTCGTAGATGGCGTTGTTGCGCGAGAGAGTGATGATGAGGACGGCAAGCATGAGCTTGACACCCATGATGATGACCTTGTAGTGGGCCCACGACCGCTCGTAGCCGTAGTAGAGGAACGAGTACGGGGTCTTGTCGCGCCTGAGCTCGTTGCGGTAGACCGTCTTGCGGAGCGCGTACGGCACGCGGTGGCCTTCGGCGTTGTAGATGCGCGGAATGGGCTTGTACGACTGGATGAGGAGGTAGCAGGCGACAGGAAGGCCGATGGAGATGATGACGAACATGACGACGGCAGCAACAATGTACATGATGTGCTGGACCGAGTAGCACGAGTCAAACGCAGTGATCCACTCCGAGTCGCACACCATGATGCGGAGAGCAACCTCGGTACACGGCATGAAGAGCGTGGTGAGGATGGTGAGCACAATCTGGACCGTCAACCGCTTGCGCTTAGACGAGTCGACCCAGTGGCGGGCCTCGAGGCCCTCGCGGATGTCGTCGGTGGTGACCCGGGCGCGGACAATGGTCGAGAAGAGCGAGATGGAGAAGAGAAAGAGGAACCAAAACCAGATGTTCTGGACAACAGACGGCTCGACGGTGATGAGGTCGGGCAGCGTGAGCGAGAAGACACGAAAGATGGAGCCAAAGAACTCGCGGAACGAGTCGGGCCACTCAATGCCGGCAAAGAAGAGGCCGATGATCTGGAAAAAGTCCCGGAACAAGTCGAACTTGACGGCAAAGTCAAAGTTACCAAACGAGCTCGTCGCTGCTCCAACGCCCTCCACCATCTTGATCAAGTTCTTCTTGCCCACATCATACGCTGCTGCCGACTCTGCCCAAGCCACATCAGCCTTGTCTTGCACAGCCTCTGACTCGAGATAATCCTTGACATCATTGGCCTTTGAAATAAAAGCCACTTTGCCAGCCCTCAATGCATGCTTGCCAACTCTCAGGCCTTCACCACCACCCGCTGCCACTTCAGAGCCAAGCGAGAGTGCCTCCGAGCCAGCAGACGAGCCAAGCGAGAGTGCCTCAGAACCCAGTGACTCTGCCTCGGAGAGCATGTCGTACGTGTAGTCCGACATGGGGCTATGGAGAGGGGAGGGGGGGGAGGGGGGGTAGTGGGGGTGCAAGTGGAGTGGTGTGTGTGCCTGGGTGTGCGGGAGCGGAGGACGGGAGGAGGGGTGTCAGCTGGTTCTGGGAATGGTCCGGGGGAGGGAGGGGGTCAGACCACACGGAACAGAGGGCAAGGGGTGATGAGGGAGGGGTTTTTTTTGTTCGGGGAATGAGAGGGGTAGGTGTGTGGGGGGTGATGAGGATGGTGGGGGTGGAGAGGGGGGGTGATCGCTTGCTCAGATTGAAGCTCTCGCTGATTGAGGTGATCGTCGTGATGATGGAGATAGAAGGATCAGATTTCGATCAAGGGTGTATGGGATGGAGAGAGGATAGAGGGTGCACAGCAATGGACAAGAAGCACTTGCGCATGAGAGGAGAGGGAGGAGGAGGGGGGGAGGAGGGTGATCGGCGCGGCCGGTAGCTCGTGTGAGGCCTCCCGTCTGGCCAAACATGGAGGGATCCCGCCTCTCCAGTCACACCGCCGGAGTAAGACGGAGTACACCTCACGTTGGCACAGGAGTAGTAGGGAAGGCTTTGCCATGGCAGCAGCTGCTTGGGGTGTGTCGTCGGAAGGAGCGCGCGTTCGTGAGAATGACGTCGAGTTTCTGACCCTGTTGTGGAGCTTGAGCAATGACGAGCTGATGGCACTCTCCAATCTGAAGATACAGTACTACGACCAAGCGGCACCTGTGCCGAGCTCAAACTACGACTTTCTCAAAGTGCTCATGGCTTGCAAGTGGAGCGTCGACCTCGCTTTGACAAAAATCCCCATCTACATTGGCCTTCGCGATCGGTTGGGCCTCTCAGCTCGGCTAGCTCTAGATCCGCTGCTGCCCGTCCTGGCCACCGGTCGCTATCAGCTGCAGGGCACCGATCGCGATGGTCACCCGGTGCTGTATGTGGCGGCGGCAACTTATGTGCCGGCAGAAACTGTGCTGGATGATGAGATCCGTGCCATCGTGTTTCTGCTCGAGTACGCGTGGAGGACAAACCCGGCGGCTGGTCGCCACGGCATCACGGTCGTCGTCGACCTCAGCGGTGCCCGAGTGCGGGCAAACTTTGACAAGGACGCCGGCCGCGAGCTCGTCATGACGCTGCAGAGTGCGTATCCGATGCGGGTCCGCCGTGTCGCGCTTGTCAACCCGACGCTCAGCCAGCGGCTGGCCATGCGGTCCATCAAATCGGTGATGAAGGCCGGGCTCCGCGACAAGGTCGAAAAGTACACTCACCAGACGCTGACCAAGATTATTGCGCCCGACCAGCTGCCCGAGCGGTTTGGCGGAAGCCTCAGCTTTTCGTTTGCCCGCTGGCTCAAGTCGCTCCAGCAGCAGGAGGCGCTGCTCAATCCCGGCGCTGTCTCGACCGTCGAGCTCACCCTGCCGGTCGAGTCCGGCAGTCTCGAGGGCGGCGGCGAGGCCGAGGATGCCGAGAACGTCGATGACGCAGACTATGTTGAGCCCGAGTACGTCGACTTTGTGCCGCGGGCATCCGCCGATCCTGAGTACCAGCCGTTTGGGGACGGAGGAGGAGATGTGAGTGCAGACGATGCCGTAAGCGTGGACGCAGGCCTGGATGCGCGCCCAAGCGCCAACGATGGCGACTACGAGCCATTTGCCGTTGGCAGTCCCGAGTACGAAGACTACGTTCCGTCGCCCGTCGCTGATGACGGCGGCGAGTACTCGAGTCACACCGAGTACGACGACGAGCTGGATCTGGAGCCGGACGACTTTGCGTATCCTGAGCTCGAGTACGAGGATTATGTTGGGTAGAGAAGAGCATGTGAATAATCGATGGTCCTGGCCCTTTGTGATGGCTTGGTGAAGAGGGAGGGGTGGGCACGGCCGGGCAGGATGCCTCCACACGCCATCGCCATACCTGCCATCAATGCCCCTGCCATCACCACACTTACCATCACCACACACACCATCACCACACATACCATCACCACACATACCATCACCACACACACCATCACCACACATACCATCACCACACATACCATCACCACACATACCATCACCACACATACCATCACCACACATACCATCAATCCCGCTCCCTCAACCGATAATCGATAGCCAACGTTTGATCACCTCTCCCGCCCCCACCCCCACCACCTCTCCCACCACCACCACCACCACCACCACCACCACCACCACCACCACCACCACCACCCAGGCACACGAGACACGTGGCGAGGATGCAAGGCGAAGCAGGGAGGGTGTCGTCGCAGGTGGACCCTCTCTATCTGGGAGCTATGTACCTCCGACGCAGAGCATACGACGCAGCAGTTGGTGTGGCAAGTGACATGCTCGCGGGAGAAGGAAGGGACCAAGCAGCGTGGTACCTCAAGGCGAGGAGTCTGACGGAGAAGGTGTATATCGATGATACTGATGTGGAGGAGACAGGTCTGGCGGAAGAACTGATGGATGATCGTGCTATGGCTACGGCTCCAAGACCTGGTACTTCATTTGCTGGTCCAAGGACTTCGGCAGGTACCTCAAGAGGGAGACCTCTCTCAGGCTACGCAAGGCCATCCACTTCGGCGAGAGGTTCAACTGCGTCAGGCGCTCGTCCGATGACATCCAGGCCCATTGCTTCTTCTGCAGGGAGGTATGTTCGCCTCAACACTGCTGCTTTCGCAGCAGAGCCGGATGGTCCTTTCATTCCCGTCGACGCCCTCGATCTGCGGAGGTACGCCAAGCGTCAGCACCTGGCCAAGATCCTCTTTGGCTACATCTTGTACGTTGAGAGCAACCCGCTCAAGGCCCTCGAGCTTGCTACCTACGCCCATGAGCGCGCAAAGTTCAAGGACTGGTGGTGGAAGCTCCAGATCGGCAAGTGCTACTACCAGATCGGCCTCCTCCGCGACGCCCAGAAGTTCTACCTCTCCTCGCTCGTCTCGCAAGACATGGTCGAGACATACCTCCACCTCGGCAAGATCTTCTTCCGCCTCGACCAGCCGGCCAAGGCAATCGACACCTACGTCAAGGCCATGACCGTCCACCCGCACGAGCCGTCGCTCGTCATCGGCCTCGCTCGTGTCCACGATGCGCTCGGCGAGACCCAGCGCGCCGTTGCTCTCTACAGAGACGTCCTTCGCATCGATCCGTCCAACATCGAGGCCGCCGCCTCGCTAGGCTCGTACCATTTTTACTCGGACACGCCAGAGATTGCGCTCCGCTACTACCGCCGCCTCCTGCAAATGGGCGTCTACACCACATCCATCTGGAACAACATCGGCCTCTGCTGCTTCTTTGGCCAGCAGTTTGACATGGCCTTGTCGTGCTTTGAGCGCGCCCTTGCCCTCGCCTCGGACGATGACCTCGCCCAGGTCTGGTACAACATCTCGCACGTCGCCCTCGCCACCGGCGACCTCAACCTCGCCTACCAGGCCTGCAAGCTCGCCCTCGCCGCCGACCCTGACCACGCCCAGGCCATCAACAACCTCGGCGTCCTCGAGCTGCTCATGGGCAACGGCCTCTCCGCAAAGACAGAGTTTGTCACCTCGTCCACTCTCGCGCCTTGGCTCACCGTCCCGCACTACAACACCGGCCTCGTCGCCTACAAGCTCGGCGAGTTTGAGGCCGCCTTCAAGGCTGCCAGCGACGCCCTTGCTCTTGACCCCGACCACGCCCCGTCAAAGGCTCTAATGGACTCGCTCTCCAAATCGCTCTCGCGCTCCGTCTAGTCTACTCGCCGCATCTGCACGGCGCCGCTCCCGCCCGCTCACGGACTGCTCCGCTCCTCTCCGCCCACGCCTCGCCGCTCACAGCATGCACCAGCCACGGATCCTCGCTCTCATCCGCAGGGTGCGAGTACTCGAGCCCAAGCTTAGCAAACGTTGCAAGCATGCCCTTGTTCGCTGCCTTGGTCGAGCCGATCACACGCTCTAGGCCCAGCCCAGCCGGCCGCGGCGTAAACGCAAAGTCCAGCACCGCCACCAGCGCCCGCAGCCCGATCCGCTTCCCCCACAGACTTGCGTGGATGGCGATCCCGATCTCGCCGCTCCCGCCCACACCATCTGCTCCAGCCACCAGCGAGAGTGACCGGAAGCCGACCAAGCCCGCGCTAAGGCTGTAGCCCAGCTCGTCGGCCTCCTCCGTCGACGCCACCACCAGCGCCGACGGTGCCGTGTCGACACCAAACGCTGCAAATCCCAAGCTCCCCACGCCGCCTTCAGCTCCGATGCCAAGCTCAAAGTTGCAGCCGGTGCCATCACCATATGCCGCCACATCATGCATCCGTCGAGCAGCTGCATCGTCGCAGGAAAACATGCCGTCTTTGCAAATGTGATTGAGATGGGCCATGGTCGTCGTGTCGGCAAAGGTAGCCACCACACGGACGTCCGAGTCCTCAGGCAGCGGGCCTCGCAGGACAAGCTCAGGCGACCACGCCCCGCAATGGGTACACTTGCTCGAAGCGGGTACTCTCAGTCTCGTTGGTCTCTCCCCGCGTCCAAGCTCGACGTCAGGAGAGGCCATGCTGTCGTCGATGTCTGCCATGAGCCGCAGAGAGAGGAGTCGGCGCGGGGGGGGGGGGGGGGGGGGGGACGGCACAGAGTTTAGCTTTGGTGTTGTGACTACGATTGCCGCCAGAGATGGAGATCGGGCTCCAGAGTGGTGAGGAGGGTGTAGATCTGGTGCGAGAGTGCAGGGCCGAGGGCTGAGCGGGATCGAGAGCGGGCGGATGACACGGTAGACGAGACGTGGATGGAGGCGAGAAGCGAAGCCTTGTCGGCATCGGAGAGGTCGCGCCGCTCGTAGTGGACAAGCAGCGAGTTGAGGGTGGGGTAGACCCGGGCAATGGCTAGTGCCACCGGCTTGCTCACCCGTGGAATCTGCATCAGCATCGAGATCCAGATCTCGCTCGGCTTGCGCGACTTGGACACCGTCGAGGCGTCGAGATGCAGGCCGAGCGCGGCGAGCGCGTACGGCGGCGCTTGATGCGCCGAGTTGGCCACGTGCCGGAAAAAGTGCCGGAGGAGAAAGGCCAGCGCACCGCGGGTCCCGGTCTGCTGCACCGTGACTTGAAGCTCGAGCTCGATCGCCACAACCGCCGCTTGGATTTGCGCTCCACTCGGCCGCGGGTAGCGCGGGCCGCCTGGCACGGGCGGGGGACCAACGGCCAGGTACGCTCGCGGCCTCGACGGGTACGCCCGCACGAGCTCACGGCACGCGTTCAGAAGCGTGCCCGCCAGCACATGGCGGCAGAACTCGCCGTGCCCGAGGTACTTGAGGACGCAAGGCGTCGGCTCAATCACCACATCGTGAGCTACAGCCACATGCTCGCCGCGCCGTTGGATGTACTCCGCTGCGGCCTCATCTTCGCCCGCTAGCCGCCGTGCCACCACCTCCCGGTCGCACACCACGCATCCGCCCACGCCAAGCGGCTCGTATCGGGCCGGTATCGTCTCCAGTCCAGGCACAGACTCGGCAAGCTCCGCCAGCACCCGATCCATGACCTCCACAAACTCGTCGTCGCCCAGCAGCTGGTCGTCCAGCAACACCTGCAGCTCGCTCAGCGCGTCGGCCTCGGGCACGTTGACACGCGACGAGTTGGCACGCACCAACTGCGCCGCCACCTCGCGCTCCGCCCGGCTCGGCGGGCGATCCGCAGGCGCTTCCTGCTCCTGCTCCCGTTTCCGCTTCCGCTTCCGCTTGTTGCCCGGCGTCGTCGTTGACAGAGACGACGCCGCACGCCGCGCCGGAACCGCCGCCGCCAACGCCGTAGACCCCACAGGCTGCGACCGCGGCGGCGAGAACGAGATGCTTGATGACGACTCAGACGACCCACACTCGTTCGAGCCGTTCGAGCGCATTGGTGTGAAATGCGCGACTCGCCGCGAGCCGTCGACAAACGTGTCGTCGTCATCGTCGCCGTCATTGTCGCCGTCCAGCACAATTACCGGCGCCGAGCTGCTCTCTCTCGTTGTGCAAGCCGGTTCAGCCCGTGGTGACTGCGACTGTAATGGCTGCCACTCAGCGTAGAACGCGTCCAGCTCGGCGTAGTCGTCGCCGACCACCGCCAACTCTGCACCAACCCCACCAGCACCCGACCGGGTCGAGCTCAGGCTCTCGTTGTCTCCGCCCTCGGAACTTGCCACCAGATCAACCACCGCAGACTGCGACCGTAGAGGCGCGGCAAACTCAGGCGTGCACGCCCGATCAACCTCCGACTCCACTGCTTCCGTCTCCTCGGACAAAAGCAAGCCATCACCATCGCCATCGCCGCCAGACTCTGTCTCGACATCATCGCCGTTGCTGCAACGTACCCTCCGTGTCACAAACTCCTCCTCAGAGTTATCACTCGCCATGCGCCTTGCTCCTGCACGAGTTGACGACACCGACATTGCGGTGGCCGTCGACGATCCCATGCCCGACCTGATCGATGAGCCCGTTCCCAACCTGCCCGCCGACGACGTGATCGATGACGACATGATTGCTGTTGTTGCCGTCGTTCCTGCTGTTGCGGTTGTTGTGGCTGCTGCTGCTGGTGTGGATATTGTCCTTGGTTGTGGAGGATCGGGCGACGAGTCGGGCGAGATCGAGAGCGAGAGCGAAATGGAGAGCGAAGACGAAGACAAAGGCACAGACGAGGTCGGCGACAAGGGCAAGCGGGCCGAGACGGAAAAGGCTCGAGACGACGGTAAGCCTGCTTGGCTACGCTCCCGAGGTGGTGGCGGGGAGAAGGTAAGGTCCACCACCTGGGACATGACGGACACCCTGGTCTAAGCAGTTGTGCTCGTGGTAGAGACGTGCGCTGGTGCTGCAGCTGCTCCCTCCGCTCTAATCGCGCCGAGCGAGTCGCCGCCGCATTTGGGTCGGCCAAAGCGACGGCGGCTTTGCGGACGACGACCTGCTATCATTGCAAGTTTAGCTTCGATACGGTTCGAGTTGGTGGAGACAACATGGGCATAATCAAGTTCTTTCACTGTGTAGGAAAGAGTGTGTCTGACTCGTCGATGAGCATGCGGGTGATGGCCACCGCGGTCTGCGACATGGCCATGATGGCGGTCATGTCGGTCGAGTCAAGTCGGACGAGATTCGGGCCAATGACAAGGGCCAGATTCTCTGCGGGCATGCTGTTGGCAGGCGTCTGAGCGAGTCGGCGCAGAAACGGGACGAGTTGTGCGAGTGTGGAAAAGTGCCGCGCGGAGAACTGGGCGAGGGCGGCCTCGACAGCCTCGATCCGCTGTGCCGACCCGGCGCCGAGGCCGACGGCGGTGTGGAGGTCGCCGACGAGTGCGCCTGGGATGAGCGGCTCGGCGAGCTCGCGGAGAAAGAGCTTGAGAACGGCTGCGGCAAGCGCAGCGTCGCGCAGCGGCTCGAACGGGAACGGCCGCCCGCACTCGTAGCAAGCACGGATGAGCTTGATCTCGCGGGCGTTGGCCGAGACCCGAAAAATGCCCTCGGTGTCGCGATGCTGTGGGGTGTCGAGAAAGGCGATTGCGTCCTCGACGAGCACGGGTGCGGCGGAGCCCCAAACGTCGTCGGTCATAGCGTCGAGCCGGGCGCCAAAGACACACGACGACGACGCAATGAGCTGATCGAGCGAGAGCGGCGGCGAGCGCGAGCGGAGCATGCTCCACCCACGACGCTCGCTGCCGCCGCCGGCCATCTTTCCGGCCAGGACCGCCATGGCGTGGACGCGCTCTTCGAGAGCAGCGCGCGCCTCGCTAGGTGAGAGGCCGACAACATTGAGCGGCAGCAGTAGCGCCAGTTGATCATAGCTCCGCGCCGTCTGCACCTTTTGAAGAACTTGGCCTTGGCCACCGATCGCAGAAATGTGAGCGTCGCCCGTGCAAGCCGCGAGGGCTTGAACATGACCACCGCTTTGACGTTCTTGCGCGCCCGATACGGAAAGCGAGCGTACCACGCCCGCATGTGCTTAAAGCTGATTTTGGTCGACGTGCTGGCCTCAGAGTCATCGCCTTCAGTCTCACCGCCGTTCGGCAGAATCAGCAGCCGATACGAAGCGTCAAAGAGTGGCGCTAGAACCGAGATGGAGTGCAGATAAACTGCGTCCGGGTCGCCGACCGTGGCAGCGCGTGCCATGTCAAAGACGCCAAGCGGTGATCCGTACACTTCACCCGCCATTGGTGTCTCTGCCGTCGCCATCGTGGCGCCGTCAACGATGCGCACAAACGCGGCGCTGGCGATGGAGGCCACGTCCGCTGGATCGCGAGCACGCGCGCGTGTCAGGTCTTCCTCAAACGCCGCCTCGCGCGCTTTGGCCTCCTCGGTCAAATCGGCCTCTGACGGCGACGCAAACCCGTCCTCTACCACCACAAACCCGTCGCTGCCCGAACTCCCGTTGCGGGCCCGCGCCGGTGCAGTGTCTTCTACAGACGGCCCACTCTGCAACGCGTTCGAGCTGCTGCTGAGCTGGGCAACAACAGCGCGTGCCTCGATCTGGCCGTCAGCGGCAGAACCAGCAGTGGTTGATCGGCTTTCGGCCGCATTGGCGTGAGCATGACCGAAGTGAGCAGAGCCAGCGTGAGCAGAGCTAGCCTGAGCAGGGCCAATCCGAGCAGAGTCTGTATGGCCATCTCTAGCGTTGGTTACGCCAACAGTGCCTCCGCCGCCGGCGCCATCCCCACCCAAGACACTCGTGCCATCACCGCCAGCACCATTCCCGCCATCTCCACCACGATTGGAACGGCCCTCCATCTCATTGCCCATACCCATGCCCATATCGGTTCCCATGTCCTTGTCAACGCCCATGCTCATACCCATGCCTGCGTCTGTGACTGTGACCTCCGCGTCCATCATCGGCTCCGACCTGGCCGCCACCGCCGCCGCCGTCGCCGTCACCATGCACTCCTTGCGAACCTCCCCAGCACCTGAACTCAACTCAGCATGGACAATGCAAGCCCCGTCAACGTCGACCATGCTCATATACCCTGTCTATTGGTTGCAATTGGAGGGTGTGGGTGTGAGTCAGGTGTGCGCGTCGGCTGTCGCTTCTCGCCTGTCGCGCCGACTGACGATTGGTCTTCGATTTGGCCGGACAAAGGCGGGGCGAGGGTATGGCTATTCAAGTATCCATAACTACATGGATACAAGAGATATGACCGTGGGAATAACGTAGCAAAGAGCTGGAGTATAGCACTCTTGGGATATCTGGGGGGGGACGTTGGAATTGTACGTGATAGGAGTCGGCAACATGACCATCATCACTACCTCCTTGCAGGCAGAGAGCCACTAGCACATACACACAGACACGCATACGCACATCACACACGCGTATACGCTCTCACTCTTGATTGAGCCACATCGTTACATGCCGCCTCATCATCGTGCGCGTGACAACACAATCATCATCTTCTTCTTCTTCAGCAGCAGCAGCGGCAGTAGCAGCAGCAGCAGCATCGGCTACATCACGCACGGCGCACCTGCGCCACATTCACGCTGTCGTCGCCATGATCAGCATCGCCATTCCTCTCGCCTATGTGTCTCCATTTACTCAACAACCACACATCAGCACCCACCATGATCACACCGATCATTGACTCGATCGCACGCACCGCACCGATTCTTCCATTTGCCTCGGCAGCCGACCACTCGACGTAGTCGCCCACCCCACAGCCATACCCACTGACATGGGCCTGATCAACCTCCCGACCGAGCTCCTCCACGCCATTGCCTATCACACTCAGTTACTTACCATTGCGGATGTGCTCTCTTTGGCATGTTCCTGCTCATCCATGGCCACAGCGCTCCTTGGCGATGACTTTGGCCGGAGACATCTTCGTCGCCTGGCAGGTCCTGCTGCATGTGCCCGCGCGAAGAAGTGGCGGGCAGCGCTGGATGCCTTGACAAGACCCCATCGGCTCATCAAGGTCAACGCATCGCTGCTCACTCAGACACTTGCTGCTGCTATGGTTCACGATGTCGACGCTGGTGTGTGGCAAGATCGTCTCATTGACGCCTGTCTCGCGCATCCCTACTTCCACGTCGGTCACTCGGCCTGCCTCGTCCTCCGCAGGGCCGCCACACTCGGCAATGTCAGGGTCGTTGCCGCCGTGGCCGGTCATCCGGCTGCTGATCTGCGCAAGTGCCGCTCGCAGGCCATCTACGGTGCTGTCGACAACGGTCATGTCGATGTCGTCGCCCTCTTTCCGCACTTTCGAGGCAACGCCTTCCATCCGTTTCCGGTTCACCTCATCGCGCGCGCCATCAGCAAGGGCATTGCCCCGATGGTTCACAAGCTTACCAGCATGGCCTCGCGACACCAGCTTGACAGCGTCCGACTTGTTGTGAAAAGCTCTCTGCTGGGCGCGCCGCGCATGGCGTTCGTCCAAGGCGCTATTGACATTGCGCCTGACGCCATCCGGGCCGTCTTTGAGCACGTCCCCACCGCCACCATCGACGCTGCACTTCCCATGCTCTGCCTCCCTGCCCTGCTCCAAGCCGATGCTGCAGCCATCATGGCTCGTGTTGCTCCGCACCATGCAGCTGTCTTTGCCGCCGCAACATCCGGCAATCTTCCGGCCTTGAGGTGTGCGCTCGACAACGCAAGCGAGGTTACATGCCCGGACCTCCTTGACACCGCCCTGAGCCTGGCCATGGCATGCGGCCATGTAGAGGCGATGGACATGATTGCGGATGTCCTCCCGATGCCTCTGCTGAACATCATTCCCCAGGCGTTGCTCATCGCTGTCGGGCGCAGCCATCTGCGCACCATCGAGCGCTTGGCCGACATCGCTCGACCCGTCTTTACCACCTCTGTCACGGCATCCCTATTCCAGGCAGCTGTGGCCCTCGGCTACATCGAATGCGTTGACTTTTTGATTCAACGTATGGATGCTTGGCACCCGAACAGGTGTTACTCGCACGGGACGCTCGTCGCAGCCGCTATCCGATCTGGCTCGGTCGCCACCTTTGAGCGCGTCTCCAACTTGCCTGACTTCAATACCACCGCTGTCATGCGGGCTGGGCGGGATATGTTCTCGATACTCGTTCGCACAGACGGATATGATATGCTCAATGCGATTGCCGACTTTGCTGCCCGCAACGCCTCGCTTGCCGAGCACACCAACTTCTTCTTCTTCTCCATGACCGTCGCCATGTCCTTTGCCGATTGCGTCGATCGTGGACACGCGCCCGACCTTGCCGCCGTTCTCTCCCGTGCCGCCATCCCGCGTACCGTCTTTACTCGCCTCCTAGCCTCTTTGTTTATCACCGATGTCCAAGCAGCCGCCATCCATGCCGTCCTTGCTCTCTACGACGCCAACAAGCCAAACCTCGACGCCCCCCCGGGCGCCTCATCACCACCGGGCGCATCGACATCAACGACTTCTCGACCCATCCAAAAGTCCCGCAAACGCAACAAGCGCAAGCGCGGTCAAGCTCAAGACTCGCCAGAAGTAACGCAGTGGTGACAACCATCAGCCTCGATCCAGCTCGGACTACCGTCTGCCAACTGCAACGCGCAGAGCACTGACTGGTACAGCCCTCATCGTCACCATCAACGTCAACAGCACCATCATCACACGTCCGCTGGATGCGATGTCCCCTCCTTGGCTTCATCATGTTGTGCTGTGCTGAGCACGTGCCCGGCAGAGCTGCAATTGCGAGCTGCCAACCGTGGCAACCACGCGGTGACCACTCCACCTCCCCCACCAACGCACAGCGCCATCCCCACCAACATGAACAGGAGCAAGAAAGTCACCCAACCTCATCTAGTCATCCTTACTATTGCCCTTGTCCTCTCATGTGGCCTCTGTGACGAACCGGTCGAGCTCTATCTCCCTTGCTCAACCGCCGCGGCTCCGGCTATGCCTTTTCCCCGCTTTTCGCTTCCGCTAGTCTCCAACGACGGCGGTTCCTTATCACCTTTGTGCCTCGCGGGCGATCCGTCAAAATTTTATGCGTATTGTGGCTGGCAACCAACGCCGGTTTTCTCGGCACACTCGTTCGTCAATGCCTCCTCTCCACCAGCAGTACTAGCAGGTCCTGAACTCTTGCCCAAAGCAGACACCGTTGGCCCGTTTCTCACTGCTCATCTCAATGCGGATCCATGGATCGATCTCGTTGTGGCAGTGTCGGGCCAAGACACGAACGAGTTGGGCTGCTCCTTGTGGTGGTTGGCGGGCACCGACGATCCGCTCTCCTTTGCTGCGCCTGCGAGGCTCACTCTTGATACCCCGCCGTATCCTATCAGTTGCAATCGCGCCACCCGGCCTTCGCTTCTGCGCATGCCGTCGCCGGACGGGGGAAACTTTCCGCTCACTATGATATCCACCTTCACCACCCTCGACCAGTCTGTCTCGCTCAACGCCATCACGCTCGACGGGCCGATGCCGACAACGCCCAAGCTGCGAGTCCTCGACACCGTCCCCGACTCTTTCGGATTTAACGCCCTTGTTGCCGCCATCGCGCCCAACATTGTCGCCTTCGCTCCGCTCAACACGATCCGTCTCGTCTCACTCGCTCTCCCGCCGGCCTTTCCGCCGACGGTCTTGCCGCTGCCGAGCGAGCGTATTGCCAACGATTCCCAGCTCGTCGCGCTCACCTCGGCCGACGTCAACAACGATGGAATCATTGACCTCATCCTCAGCTGCAAGACTGTATCTGCCGCCCATGCGTCCGTTGTTGTCGCTATCGCCAAGCTTGGAGCCCCTCTTTCGTGGCGCTTTGCCGTTGTCAGCAGCCCTGTCACTCCAGTCTCGATAGCCGTCTGGCGGAGCCCCACATCTACCGAGCCATCTGCATCGCTCGTCTGGCTCTCCGCTATCCAGCCTGGTGTTGATAACTTCAACTTTGAGCTCTTTGCCATGCGCTTTGATCCAACAACCATGACACCTTCGGCCCTCACCGAGCTCTCGCCACTCGACGACGCGGGAGAGGCCACCAGCGCTGCGCTTGTTGTCTCGCCCTCGACCGACCCAGGTGCCTTTGGCTCTATCATTGTTGCGCGCGTCGTGGTCGAATCAGCTACTTCGGCAAGTAGCGGTGCCTCGTATCTCGTTGCCCCGCCTGCCTCCCCGCTGCCCGCAGACTCTCCGCATTTGACTCCCTCCCTCCCATCACCTCGTACTCGCACGCCTCCCGCGCCGCCGCAATTGCTGGCCTTGTCAACTCAGACACCGAGCCCGACATCGTCATTATTGACACCCATCATCAAGTCATCACCTTGATCAACAACATCCAGAGCGGCGTGCAAGCCAGCCAGTTCCAGCCCATTCTGGGCCCCACCCTCTCCGAGGACCTTGATTTCGGCACGGGTGCCATCCACATCTCGCTGGCAGACGCAGATGGCGACGGCTCCCAGGACCTCATGCTTACTTGTCTTTCATCGCCTACCTCCACTGGCATCTGGTACCTGCCTAACGCAGGTGGTGGTCAGTGGAACCCACTTGTTAGCCTCGCAACGCTGCCGTTTACCATCATCAACGTTGTTCCCGTCTCCATTCGATCCGCCCTCGCCATCGAGTACATCGTGGCCTTGGACGAGACCAACAACGTCAACTCGCTTGTTTTTGTCTATCAGATCCAGGCCGGCTCGCCCGTCTTTGCCCACTGCTTCCTCCCGCCGGCACTCAACACAACATCTGAGCTCATTGCTCCGCTCCGTCCTCGTCACTCGCCGCTACCCTCGGACTCGGGCATCGTCATCGCCGCGCACTTGGGGTCATCCTCTTATCCTCTCTTCTGGGTCACGCTGGACCAGCTCGGCCATGAGTGCAAATGGAGTAGTACCACGCTGACTGTGCTGCCTGGTCGACCTAGTGCTCTCGTTGCTGGTCCTATCGGGCCTGGTGCGACAGGCGATGACGTCGTCAGCATCATCAATGCCGATAACCATCCCATGCGCGCCACCAGTACGGTCTTCTCGCTCGCCATCATTCGTACCTCGGTCTCGACAACCAACCCGCCAACCCAAGTTACTCCCATCCTTGCCATGGACACCGCGTGCGCCATCATCGCTGGCTTGTTATCATGTCGGTCTTTGGAGGGCCCGGCAACGATGTCGTTCTCGTCTGCGGAGCGCATCTGGTGGTATGGCAGGCTGTCGAGCCGGGAATGCTGGCGCCGGCGCCGCAGCGGATTGCCATCAGCGCCGCTTCTGACAACGGTGAGACCTTGATCTCGCTCGTTGATCTGGACGGGAACGGCTTTCTGGACATCGTTCGTCTCGCTTCAAACGGCTTGCTGCTCTCGCTACAGCTGCCGAATCCGTGGCTGGACAACCCATTTGCCGAGCGCATTGTTCCGCTCCCACCGGCCAACTTCGCCTGCACACAGCCGGGCTCGCTCGCCTGTCTCGCCACCGCCCTCTCGCACGTCTCCAACTGCAGGTCTGACACCGTGGCTCGTTGGTAGTTTCCCACTGATCGCTCCGAGGTGCGACTGGAGCATGTCCTTGCGCAGCGACGATTTGCTGCCGCCGCAGCAGGCGACGGCGCTGACGGTGGACGAGCCGGAGGACGCGGCGCTCGAGGTGTGGGCGCGGCTCGAGACGCCGACGCAGCAGCTGCCGTTCCTCTGGTACCCGCACGCCGACGCGCCGCGGCGGTACAAGGGCGCCGACGTCGAGCCGCCGGGCAAGAAGCCGCTCGCCGTGTGGGAGGTGGCCGATGACGAGGAGGGGGGGGCGCGGCTGCTGCTGTTCGGGACGACGGACAAGATCAAGCGCGGGACGGGACAGCCCGGAGTCCGGCTCGTGCCCGTGCCGGCGATGCAACGAGCTGACGAGCGCACAGCTGGTGGACATCTGCAACGCGGCGTTGTGGTCGCGGGCCGAGTTTATGGCTGTTGGGGGGTAGCTGCGGCGCGGTGTGCGGTGCGGCGCCGGCGATGTGCGCGTCAACATGCTGCGGCGGGTGCAGACGACGCTGCTGCTCGTCGAGCTCGCGCGCGCGCCGCCGTGCTCGTTGTTTGGCTTACACATGCATCGGCGTGGAGTGGACGCGCAGGCGAATGTGGCGCTCGGACACGGTCGACTCGCACACGGTGTTCAACTACATGCTGTGGTGTAGCGACGTGGTCGACGTGGCGGGAGGGGTGGAGGGCGAGGCTGAGGGTGGTGTGGCGCGAGTTGTGGACCACGTGGTGAACGACAGTACGCAGCGTCTCGCCGTCCAGCTCGAGCAGTTGTTGCGGATCTCGGACGCTCAGCCGGAGGAGTTGATGGCGGCGTTGTGCACTCGACCACGTCGTCGGCACATTGACAGGTCAAGGCGAGTTCAACACATACTGCTCCAGCTCGAGCTCGGCGAGACGGGCACGCTCTCTGGTGACGCGAGCACGCTTGTCACTCGCCACCGCGGCTGCTTCGGCAGCACGGGCCTCGTCCTCGGCGGCGGCCATCGGAGTGCTTCGGCGGCAAGGCGGAGAGCGTGGAGCCGGGGGTGGGTGGAGGCACGCGTGGTGAGCTCTGAAGCGGCGGCAGCAGACAACACGCCTGCAGCGACCTCTGTGTGCTCGAGACGCGTCGGCGAGAGTGGCTGGAGCCGCTTTTGCACCGGCGCACCAACGCCGACGGCGGCGGCGTCAAGCTTGCGCTTGCGTGTGCGAGTGGTCGTGGGCTTGGGGGTGAGCGAACGCTTCCTCCAGTACGCCAGCCACTCGTGGCCGGCGCGCTCCTCGGCGTACGTCGGCGGCGCGTCAAAGGCCGGGAGCGAGAGAGAGCGCACGGGCGACGACGAGTCGTGAGCCTCGGACCCGTGGCTCGCGCCAAACAAAGCGGGCTCGGCAGTAAACTTGCGCTTGAAGACCCGCCATTTTTGCATGTACCGCGTCCAGGTGGCGAGCGTCCGGGCCATCGTCTCGCTGTCAGCTCTGGCGCAAAGAAGCCGGGAGGGGAGGACTTGGAGAGGGCCGAGCTCATGCGTTCGAGCCGCAGCTTGAAGAGCGCGAGCGCAGCGTCAACCACGAGACCCTGGGTGCGCGGCATGGTGTCATACCAGCAGTGCTCGCGCGCGAGGACGCGGACGGCTGCGGCCGGCGACGAGGCGGTCGGCACGCCGGCCTCCACCTCGAGGGCGAGGGGCGCGTCGGCGCCGGCCGGCCCGCCGCTGCTCCCCGCAGCAACGGCCAGGCACGAGGCCATGAGGGGGAGGAGGAACTCGACCAGGTAGCCGGCGTGCTTGTTCGCTCCGGGCCGGGGCTGGGTCGAGGACGAGGAGGTGGAGGCCGTCGAGGACGGCGGGGTGGCGGACGAGGTGGGAGGCGAGGACGCGGGCTGCGAGCCTGTCCGCATGGCGGGCGGTGCGAGCCGAGTGGGGGTGAAGGGGCGGCGGGCGAGGAGGTGCGTGGGCGCGGGGAGGGACGCTGAGCCTTGGACGACGGACGACGGCGAGCTGTGTTGGGCGAGCGAGATGGGGGCTGGCTGTTGGGCGGCACCCGCACCCGCGTGAGGCCGACGCGACCGGGCGGCCCCCGCCATTCGCGGGTGTGGGGCGAGGAAACAAGGAGGTGATGCAATATCGGACAAGTTTATCCGCTTGAACGCACAGCCTCCACCTGATCCCATTGAGGACCGACCAATAGAGGTGCCGAGGCGTGCGCGCCGCACCAAGCTCCCTGCCGGCCGCCGTGGAGCGGTGACGACTCGTGTGTCAAAACCTTGTTGAGCAACTGGGGGCTCAGCCGGTTCTCTTTCGCTTGCGTGGCGGAATCGACGGCCCAGAGGATGGGCCAGCCTCCGGCGAGCTGGCCACCTCGTCCAACGAAGCACTGGACGACGAAGCACTGGACGAGGTACCGCCGCCAGACAAGAGTTCCGCACTGACCTCGTGAGGCGACACAGAATCGGAGTCGCTGCCAGATGACGCGTCGGCAGGCGCTAGTGGTTGAAAGAAATGCGGAATGGAGCACTGCCTAGCCGTAGACTCACCGGCCCGCGTCATGACGTCTTCGAAAGTGTGCGACGACTGCCTTGCAAGTCGCCGCAAATTGACCACCAGACGCTTCTTCTTCTTACTTGTCTTGACACACGGGGCGCAGTGCAGCTCTTGAAGGCGGCAATACCTCAACTTTGCGGACTGCTGCTTGATGGCCCGCACCAGCGACATCACCTCCTTATTGCAGGCCTCCAACTCTGCTGCTGCAACTTCACCTTTGAGGCGGGCAACTTCACCTTTGAGGCGGGCCACCTCAGCCTCAGCATCCTCCGTGGTGGCCTTCGACAAATTGACCTCAGCTTGGGCCAACTCCACCTTCAGTTCCTCCACGAGCTTGTCCTCGATCTTCGACATGACACGAAAGGCATCACCCAGTGCTGTTGAGTATGCGTTGTAAATCGCGAGAGAGAACGGGTAGTACTGCGAGGGATCATTACCGAGGTGCGCATCGAGCGAGGCCCGGCTCTTGCGGTACGCAAGGTACCGCGCGGGCTGGTACTTCCTCCAAAATGCGTCAAGCTCTGCCCGACGATTTTGCTCAGCGTCGGAGAGTGTGACGGCGCCACCAGCGACCATCTTCACCACAGACTCGACAATCCTCGACAGATCGCCGAGATCGGTAGTCCTCGTCTTCACCGCGTCGCGCACATCCTGCTTCCCACACGAAGAGGCCACACCCTTCCGCATGTGGTCGAGCAACGACATGGTGGCGAAGATCGCACAGGTGCGCGTCAGCTTAGCGACGTCCTTCGTGGCGGCGCCCGCGTTCAAAGCCCCGGCCACTGAAGGTACGAACGTCATCATGAGATCATCGATGGCCTCGAGGACGTCGGTGTACTCGCCGGCCACCACAGCGCTCACCCTCACGTGGCAGCTCTCGATGGCAGCCTTGACAGCGGAGCGGTCACCAGAGTGCGAATCCAGGGCGTTACACAGCAACGTGCGAACAGCCTTCTCGTCGTCGTCGCTGCGGGCCCCAATCGGCTTCGTCAACAGGGCCACACTGTCCTCAGGCACAGACGAGTTAAACGAGCCGGTGAACCAGAAAATCCAATCGACCGTCTCCCGCTTGAGAGGAATCGACTGGAGGAACTTGCCAAGCTCGATGAAGAAGTCCGACGTCCGGGAGAGACCCACGGACTTCGATTTCTCCGAGACGTAGTGCTTCACTTGCGTGAGAGCAGGGAGCTTTCCCTCTACATGCAGTACAACGTCCTCACGCCCTTCGATGGTGATCGCCGCGGCCTGGGGTGAGGGGTCCGCAACAGCAGCTTGAACAAGTTGGAGGCCAGCGCAGGCCGCCTGGTACTCATACCCCGTCGCAGAAACGTGTGCCATGCGATCGTTGAGCGAGACGCCCCCGTTAGATACGGCCAGGATAGAAGAAACGCAGTCAGCCTCGAACTCGCCAGCGGTTCGCGACGTGCTCCGCGCAGACATGACGTGCTGGTGGAAGTGAAGTGCCGGGGACGGGGTGGTGTCCGTTGCAATAGAGCGAAAGGGTGGTCGTTGTTCAGGCGGTCACGACACCATCCTTGACATGCAACCAACCCACGCATGGCGGAGTTCTGGAGAAATAGTCGCCGACATCAAAACTCGCCCACGTGCGGCACCCCTCCACTAGGTCCAGCCGGCACCACTCTCTCCCTACCTGTATGTTTCCTTCTCCTCGGCCCCATCCTGTCCGGTGCGTTCGTGCTCAAGCGACTCATGCGATACTTGCCGATTCAGAGCGCACTTGCCAGAATGTCTGTGGAGTCGGACTCGCTCAGCTACGACCTTGCTCCCGGTGATGAAGACGCGCCCATTGACCTTCAATCGGAGGTGGAGAACATGTTTGACGAGGACATGGAGGCCGAGCAAGTGTTGGCCAAACTCATGAGGCGCCACAACCGGTACTCGCAGAGCTTTGCAAACAAGGTGGTGCGTGAGACGAACAGGCACAACTTCCTGCACAGCTGCCTCACGTGTTCGCACATGTTCGACTCGTGGCGCCAGCTGAAACAGCATTTGATCCGCGAGAAACACATCAAGTCAGGCAAGACCCACAAAGCTCAGCAACGGCAAGAGCTCGAAGAGCTCGACAATCGTGTCCGGGACAAGGATCCTGACGACTACTCGCCTGCCGAGTTGCGCACTATGGTGCGTGTCCGTCTTCGCTCCGCGTATCGTGAGCGCTTGAACCCGCGCCGTAAACGATAGCTATCACCTGACTGGCTTGGACGAGACAGTGCGACGGGCATGGCAGCACGAAGGAAGGAGAAGAGTTTGTATGTGCTCAGGTGTGAGGGGGGCAAGTACTATGTCGGGGCGACGCGCAACGTGGCGCGGCGGGTAGGGGAGCATGCCAAGGGGCGCGGCGCGGCGTGGACTAGCCGGCATGCACCGCTTGAGCTGGTGGAGGAGCGACTCATGGCGCGGGCGGCGGATGAGGATGCGCTAGTGAAGGAATACATGGCCCAGCACGGCATCGAGAATGTCCGCGGCGGCGCGTACTCGAGCGTCACCCTCTCGCATGTGCAGGCGCAAGCGCTGGTCACCGAGCTGTGGCATGCCGAGGACCGCTGCCTCGGGTGTGGCAACCAGGGCCACTACGTCCGCGACTGTCCAGCTGACTCGGAGTCGTACGATACCGAGTCGGACGATTCGCCGTCGCCGCCACCTGCACGGGTGGTCTGCTACGCGTGCGGCGAGACCGGCCACGTGCGCCCTGCCTGCCGTTACAAGTCGGCCACATGGTACACCTGTGGCGTGCTGGGCCACATCGCGCCCGTCTGCCCCCTGGGCGCCGACGCGGGCTCGGGCTCGTCGTCGAGCAGTCCTGAGGTGCCGCTCCGCTCGTCACGGTCGTCGCGGTCATCACGCACGCCATCACGGACCTCGCGCTCCTCAGGTGTAGTGTGCTTTGCGTGCGGCCGGTCAGGGCACGTCCGACCTGCTTGCCGATACAAGTCGGCGACGTGCTACTCGTGCGGGGAGTATGGCCACATCGTCCCTGCGTGCCCGAACACGTGAACTGTTGGTTGTTGTCCGTTCTTCCTCGCAGGATGCTCGTTTCGGGGTGGACGAAGGGGAAGCGACTTGGGGCTGGGCAGTTGTCGGTGGTGCGCTTATCTGGTGCGCCGCTGGCGGCGGGAGCACTGACGCTCCTGGTCAAGACGCTGGTGGTGCACGTGCAGACGCTCGCGGCGCTGGTCGCCGTGTTTGACAATGGGACTGGACGTCGGCCATGCGGAGCGTCACGTCAGCGGTCCGCAAGACCTCGCTGTAGGTGACCGGCCTCGAGTGCAACGGCATCGGGTTTGCGGGCGAGTACGTCCTATTCTGGGCGCTCGGGCCCATCATGCTCGCGGCGCTGGCGCTGGCGTTCGCCGCCGTGCGCCTCTCGTTCAAGTCGCACGCTGCGCGCAGCCCGGTGGGCGGGACGGCCGTCGGCCTGCTCGCCGCCGCCCGCACGGCCGCCCAGCTCCGCGCCGCCGCGACCAAGTACGCGCTAGTCACGTTCTACCTTTTCGTGTACCCGCTCGTCGCGCGCTCGCTGACCCTCTTCGCGTGCGTGCCCGAGCAAGTCTCCCACCCGCAGGCGAGCTACCTGGCGAGCGCGCCGTGGCTCCGCTGTGGCTCGTCCGAGCAGGTCTCGCTTGCGCTTAGCTCTGGTGCGGTGCTGCTACTCGTCGCGGCGGCGGTGACCGTCATCGCGCTGCAGATGCGGTCGGCAGTGGTGGACGGCCGCGACACGACGGCGTACGCGTTCCTGTACGCCGGGTTTGTGCACCGTGCGTGGTGGTTTGAGGGCGTGGTGCTCGCCCGGCGTGTGGGCGTCGCTGTGTTTGCCTCACTGCTGCCGCCCGGTACAGTCTTTGCCAGTCCAGCGCTCCAGGCTGTTGTGGTTGCCTTCCTCCTGGTGCTCCTGTTCGTCCGGCCCAACCGGACCAATCTCGCGCTCCAGCTGGAAGCGGCAGCAACTGTGACGGCGCTGATCTCGGTCGTGCTCGTCCAGAACATGCTGTACACCGCCACCAAGTCGTCCCTCGCCGCGATGACGCTCCTCGTCATCGTCCTCAACGGCGCTGTCATCGCCGCCCTTACGGCTGGCCTCCTCGCTCCGCTTTTTGTCCTCCTCCGCGGCCGCTGACCTCTCTCCACGTCCGAAAATGATCGTAACCGGTGAGCCGGCCGATGCCGGACGACTCAGCTGGCTTGCGCGGAGCGGCCGTCCCAGCGGCCGTCCCTCATCAGCTCGCCCCACCCACCACACGCTCGCCCCCACCCACACGCCCCAAAACCGGCCCACCTCTCAACCACCCCCAACCCCATTTACCGCCTAGATCTAATGATAATCCCCGCACCCATCCCCTCCCCCGGATTGCCGACCCGGGTTCGTGACCGCCACTGCCCCAGCTCACCACCCCCCCACCACACGCATGCCCGCTGACCCCGACAACATCGAGGCGGCGATTGGGTGCTACGAGGTGGCGCTGGATGTGCGCACGCGTGAGTATGCTTGTCGGCAGCTCGACCTTTGATCGTAACTCGGCCACCACTGGTGGCGTTCTCGCCGTCCTGCAGGACTTTAACCCGCAGGTGATCTCTTCCGGAGCGGTCGCTCACCCGGCTCTGCTCAGCCTTCCCTATGTCCGATACGTCGCGGCACACGTTGTACTGGACAACGTCACCGTCACTGACAATGGCGCTGCCTATGGCGGTCTCTTCTTTCTGGTCGGCTGCTCGATTGAGGTTACTGGCCGCGTCCGCGGCTGGGGCAACAGCGTGCTCGGAGAGGCAGGATCAGTGGCATACGCCTCGCAAGCACTCGGAGAGCACAAAACTGATCTGGGGGTTCTTGTCCGCGGGACAAACAAGAGTCGCGCTGATCTTCGCAGCGCGTGCCTGCCCGTGCGCTGGGGAGGTGATGTGGCCACACCGATTGCCACCATCGAGTGGCTCGTTGGCGCGGATCAGCTCAACGGCACTGCCGTCCCGTCGGGCTTTGCTCTACCGCACAACTTTGCTGTTGTTGTTCGCGACACCAACGGTGCGCTGGTCATTGATTCGGATGTCGTCATCGAGCTCCAGGTCTACGATGGCAAAGGTGGGAGCTTCGCCATCTTCGGCGGAACGCCGCAGATCATTCTCCGCCATAACGTCACCGAGCTGACAAGCATGGGCATTGCTATCACTTCGATGGATCAGATCGGATCCTGGGTTACTGTCCGCGCCTTGGCCTCGTACGCTGCGGTGGAGGGCTTCTCTAACGTGGCTACACAAGCCATCTCGCTGCTCATCGATGGCTGCCCTGGGAATCGACCCCCGGTGCCCCACGGCGACAGCGCACTCGTCTGCGTCTGCCCCGTCAATGCCATATCGATGCAGCTGATTGACGCCGAGACCGGCGTGCAGCGAACAGGCTGTGGATGCACCGCCCAATTCTGGACGCCGAGTCTTCCGGTGGCGCGATGCGATCGTTGCCCCATCGGCGGAGACTGTGTCGGTGGCGAGGCCAAGCCAAGTGCGGCTGACGGCTACTTCCCCACCTCGGATCCAAGCTACTTTCTTAAGTGCCCGATTGATGGCGCATGTGCAGGCTCCGGAACTTGTGCTGCTGGCTACAGTGGTCGGCTTTGTGCCAAGTGTGCAAGCGGATGGTACGCAACGGGCCTGGCTGCCGGGAAGTGCACGCAGTGCAAACTCGGCGCCGCCGGAACAGCCGCCGTCCTCGCGACCATCGGCGTGCTTTGCATCTTCTTACTTGTTGGCTATGTAGTCACCCCGCAAAGCATCAGCAACGACCGCGCCAGTCGTGCCCCGGGCTCGTTGCAGGAAGCGCCGATGTCGCTATGGGACCGGAGCCGCAGCCACACCGGCAGGATCAAGACCTTGGCTATGTCTTCCATTATCGAACTTGTTGTGGTCGTTCTTCTTGGTGTCTTTGGTCTTGCAAAAGCCTGGGAGGTCGTGGTCATCGGCCTTTGCCTTGTCACGCTAAGCCTGTACGCCGTAGTCGACAGGCCTGCACAGACAACCCGGATCTCTGCAGTGCTCAAAACTATTGTGGTCTTTGTGCAGACAGTCGGTGCGGTGCTAAGCTCTGGGAATGGTCTTTTGTCATCATCGTCGTCGCTACACACCATCTATGGCGTGCTTCAGCGTGCCAGCCTGACCCTCACCGGCCTGGGCTGCCTTGATCTGGGGCAACTGGGCCTCCTCTGGCTCTTTGTGGCTCTGACTGCCGGCCCGGTTCTCCTCTGCCTCGCCCTCCGATACGCGCCATGCCAGAGTCAGGGCATGCGGCGCCGAGCCGAAGGTGCAGCAGGCACCCTCGGCTACCTTTTTGTCTTTCCACTCCTGCACCACTTGCTGGAGCACCTCTCGTGCGTCCCCGATCCGACGCCTGGTGCCCATCGCTCGTACCTGGATGCGGCACCCTGGATCGCTTGCGGCTCGGACGAACACATCGCACTCGTGGCGTCGGCTTTGAGTGTTCTGCTTGGTATTGCCTCTGCAGTTGCCGTCACCAGCGCAGTGGCCTGGTGCGCCCATCAAGCTAGTGAGCGCGAGATCTGCGATGATCGCCTCGTCCCGCTGCTCGACAGTGATGCGATGGTCATGGTTGCCGAGCATTCGCCTGTTGCCTTTCTTTGGCACACCTTCCGAGCCGAGGCCTGGTGGTATGAGGGTGTGGTTTTCACGCGAAGAGTGGCGATTGCGGTGGCGGTGGCGACCATTCCGAGAGGATCGGTCTTTACCAGCGGTGTGCTAGCCGCGACAGTCGCCGTGTCGCTCGCGGCTCACCTGCACTTTCGTCCGTACATCGACGAAGTCGCACACCGCATGGAGATCACAGGCCTTGTGGCCGCTCTCATTGTCATTCAGATTGTCGGCATGATGGAGCAAGCCGAAGCCGAGACTTCGATCGCCGTCCTCGCCGCCGAGTTTGTCATTGTCACCATTGGCGTGGTCGCGACCGGCCTTGTTGTGGCAGCCGGCGCCGTGTAAGCGGCATCCCAGCCTTTAACCCTCATCGGTACGGTCGTTCGGACGCGTTGTCGCGCGTCTCAAAGTGAACAACTCGATGATGCTTGACTTCCCGGTGGGAGGCGCGCCCGCACGTGATGGCGGCCGACACGTAGACGCCCGATCAGCCGGGAGAGCGCGGGGACTTCTTGCGACGGACGAGCTTGCCGGTCGGCGTGGCTGTGCAAGTGGTGGCACGCCATCTTGAACTGGATTCTGGACGCCGCGTACGCCCTCTACGCTGACGCGAGCCAACGCCCCGCCATGACTCGCTTGGCTTTCTCTACAGCATCATCGGCGCCTTCGCCGCCGTAGCCGACGCCATCAGCTCCGCGCCCTTCGCCGACTGTTTTCTGTTGTGGCAGCCATGAACACATTGTACTACTCTTTTACCGCAATCTGATGGACGTTGCGACGTCTGTGGAGCGTCGCGGAGCGCGCGGCTTGCGCGATGCACAAGTTTGTCCATTCCGTACCGTAAAAGGACTACAACCCCAGCCTACGTGGTGCGTGGGTGGTGTATGCGCGACAGAGAAGACGCAGTGCGTGACAGTTTGTTGTTGATGGAAGAGGGGGGGGGGGGGGGGGGGGCCTCCAGCCAACCCACGTCTCAGCGAGATCAGCAGGCTCAGGCAGTGCACAGAGGCACACTCAGCAGTAACCACGACGGACGGCGGTGCCGTCGGTCATGGCCTGGAAGAGGCGCAGTGTGAGAGCGATTTCGTCGCGGAGCTCGCGCGAGGCGCAGGTCATGTCGTACGAGGCGCCGTCCTTGAGATGGATGGTAAAGTCGGCGGGAGCGTCGTAGGAGAGAACGACCCGCGACTGAGCCGAGTATGGGGCCTTGAACCGGGTCTTGGCACCCGAGTCTGTCCGCTCGCGAAGCTTGATCTTCTCGGTGTTAGCGAGGATGATCCAGGGCTGCGGCGGCGATGCCGGCGACGGCTTGTAGCTGACGTCCCACGAGACTTCGCCGGCCTGGACGTGGGCCTCGATGCGAGCGCGCAGGTCGGCGCGGCAAGGGACCGGGTCAGTAAATGCCTCCTTGGGCTCGCCACGGACGCCATCGGCGCGGACCGGGACAAAGACGATCTTGAGGTGGTGGTCGACGTCGTCGGCGTTGCCCTTGTACTGCGAGAGCTTTGCGCCCGGAATCTCGGCCCAGAGCGAAGGCGCGTCCTTGGACGCCCGCATCCAAGTCTTCTCGCACGGGCCCTGCGGGTGGCCAAAGTAGAGGCCGCGGATGCGGAAGAGGGCGTCGTGGGCAAACTCGCCCTCGGTGGTGATGGTCAGCTCCTCGAGGCGCGGGAAGGCTGACTGGACCGGCGGGGTGGTGGCGGTGACGGGCTCGCCCTCAACACCTGCGGCGTCGACGGGGATGGCCTCGACGGCGAGCGTCTGGGCCACGTCCTCGGCGGTCGGAGTGTAGGTCGAGAGGTTGCCGCGGGCGAGGGCAAGGCCTGCGCGGAGCCACTGGAAGGTCACCCGCGACGGGTCGGTGTTCTCGGTGGCGGTGAAGATGGCGTGGAGGACTTCGCCCTCCATGGGCTCGCCCTCGATGGTGAGCGAGAGAATACGCGGCGGGCCAGCCGAGATAGGGCCGACCGGCGAGGCACGGACCGGCTCGCCGGCTACGCCGTCAGAGCGGACCGGAGTGTAAACAAAGACGAGCGAGGCGCCAAAGTCAGTTGGCGTTGGCTGGTACGCCATCTCGGTTGCGTCCTCGATGACGGTCTCGTTGCCCGCGGCGTCGAGCCGGAGCCAGGCAAAGGCCGACGCGCCCTCGGCGCCACCAAAGTACATGCCCGAGCCGACAATGAGCGAGAGTGGCTCGGAAGGGTCCTGAACAGTGGCACTGACGTCCGAGACCCGCGGCGCGCCCTGGTGGACCGGGCCACGGGTGGCAAGAGCCACGGTCTCGCCAATCTCGCCGTCGGAGCGGACCGGCGTCCACTCGAAGAGCAAGATCTTGCCGACGTCGGCGTTGACAGGGGTGTACTCGAGGGTCTCGGCCACGCACGAGCCCTTCTCGCCGTCCTCGATGCGGTACCAGGCGAAGACGTGGTCGCCCTCGACACCACCCGAGTACTCGCCCACCGGTACCAGGGACTTGCCCTCGACCGGCGCGTCCGGGTTGCCGTACTCGGCGGCGTCAGCCTCAGACTCGGGCAGGAACCAGTCGAGCGAGGCGAGTGCCGGCGGCGCGGGTTTGACCACAGGCGTGGTGTACGAGAGAGTCTCGCCGCGGGCGCCATCCTCACGGATCGGAGTGTAGTCGACGCGGAGCTTGGACTCAAGGTCGTCGGATGAGACCTTGTAACTCGCACCGTCGGCAATGTGCTTGGCGAGCGATTCCATGCCCGGGTAAACGCGGTACCAGCGGATGAGCGAGGCGCCCTCGACGCCGCCCGAGTAGTCGCCGGTGACGGAGAGGACTGCGCCCTGGGCGAGGGTGCCGGCGACAGCGAGGCTCTCAAAAGCAGGCTCGCCAGGCGCAACGGCGCCGTGGACCCGGATGGTGACGCGGTCGCCACGGACGCCGTCGCAGCGGATGGGGCGGACCTCGACCATGACCTCAAAGCCGACGTCGTCAGCAGTAAGGGTGTACGTCCACGAGGCCTTGGCGCAGAGGGCAAGCTTCTTTGGACCGCGCATGCGGTACCACTTGACCTCGGATGCACCCTCTTCGCCGCCAAAGTACAGGCCCTCGACAGCAAGGGTGGCGCGCTCGACGAGCTCGCCGGTGATGCGGCCCTCGATAAACTTGGGCTCGGCCATCTCGATGATCGGCGTGGTGTAGATGCCCGGCCGGCCCTGAACGCCGTCCTCGCGGGCAGGCTTGATCTTGAACTTGAGCACACGGTTGATGTCGTTGTAGCCTGGGACGTACACCATCTGGTTCTCGGTTCCCTCGATGAGCTCAAAGACCTCATGATCCTCGTCCTTGGAGCGGTACCAGGCGCAGCTCGACTCGCCCTCGACGCCGCCGAGGTAGACGGCAGTGGCAAGCAGCTCCTCGCCCTCGACAAACTCGCCCTCGACGGCAACATAGACAATGCACGGCTCACACGGCTGGACCGGCTGCGAGGTAAAGGCGCGTGCGGGCTTGCCGAGCTTGCCGTCGGTCCGGGCCGGGAGGTAGTCGACGCGGAAGAGGTATCCGACGTCGACGAGATTCGGCGTGTACGTCTTGGAGCGGACGTCGTACATGAGCTCCCAGTCGTCGGGATCGTCGTCAATATGACGGCGGTACCAGGTGATCTGCGAGCGGCCCTCGATGCCGCCAAAGTAGTTGACGGCGGCGGTGAGCGGGTAGGCCTCGAGGAAGGGACCGTCGGGGTGCGGCTCGATGTGGAGGTTGGAGATGCACGGCGGGCATGGCTGGATGGCCGGCGTGACCGCCGATGACGGAATGCCGGCGAGGCCGGCGGCGTTGACGGGCGTGTACTCAAACTTGAGGACGTGGTCGACGTCGGCAGCCGACGTCGTGTACTCGGACGAGGTCGCGCCCGGAATGGGCCGGAACATCTGCGTCGAGAGCTTCTCGGAGCGCAACCAGCGGAAGGTGGAGATGCCTTCGCGACCACCAAAGTACTCGCCGAGACCGCGGAGGACGGCGGTCTCGACAAAGTCGCCGGCGTCGGACGCGACGCGGACATTTCGGACGGTCGGCGGCGCGGCCGAGATGATGCCCGACTTGCCGAGGATGGCCTCGCCGATGGCGCCGTCGTCGCGGACGGGCGTGTACTCAACCCGGAGCGTGCAGTCGACGTCCTCCTTGACGAGCGTGTACTCGCGGACCGAGGCTGACGAGATGAGCTCGGGCGCGGCGTCGGGCGGGCAGCGGAACCAGGTGAAGAGCGAGGCGCCCTCGGTGCCGCCAGCGTAGCTGGTGACGGCGGTGACTGTTGCACCCTCGACGAGCTCGCCCTCGATCGACGCCGAGAGCGCGCGCGGCTCCGAGGCGACAATGGTGTTGGAGATGGCAAAGACGGTCTCGCCAAAGTCCTCGGCCTCAACGTTAATGACCGGTGTGCACTCGACCTTGAGCGAGCAGCCGACGTCGTCGGCTGTCGCCACATACGACGCGGTCACAGCGCCCGGGATTTCCTCAAAGTAGCCCGAGCGGTCGCCGCGGAGCCACTGAAAGTCAAAGTAGAGGCCGGTTGCCGCGTCGTAGCCCTCCTGCAGGTTGTCGTACCGAACACCGTCCCACACAAACGAAAACTCCGCTTGCAGGCTGGCGCCCTCCTGCGGGTAGCCCGAGATGGCGGCGGCGAGGAGCGGGAGCGGAGAGGCCAGCGTCTCGTGCTTCTGCATCTCAAAGAGGAACATCTGCGGGTCGCCGTCACCGACCATGGCGCCATAGCGAATGGCGATCGAGGTGACTGCCGAGAACGAGGCCGCGAGCTCGTGATCCTCGGGCGAAATGAGCTGCCCGTTGATCTTGCGGATGGTCGGCCCGCAGGCAATGACCGCCGTCAGCATAAACTGCTCGTGGCGCTCGAGCGGGTTGCCCACGCACCGCAGCGAGTCGAGCTTGGGAAAGGCCGGCATGCCGTCAAAGCTCTCCACGAGGTTGTGCGAGAAGAAAAAGGCCCGGAGCGACGGCTGCGGCTGCATGAACCGCAGCGAGGTGATCTCGTTCTGAGTCACAGAGAGCGTCTCCAACAGCGGCATGGTCGGCAGGTCGTCGAGCGAGACCAGCGAGTTGGCGTTGAGGTACAGCTCGCGGAGGTTGGGCAGGACGCCCAGAAATTCGAGCGACTCGAGGCAGTTGGACGAGACGTCTACCACCTTCAGGTTCGGCATGTAGCCCAGGCCCTGGAACGAACGAAGAAAGTTGGAGCGGAGGTAGAGGAACTCGAGCCGCATCTGATGTGCGCCGAGGCAGTCGAGCGACTTGAGCTCGCGCTCGTTGAGCTCCAGCCGACCGTCACGAGGCGCAATCTTGTGCGGCAGCTTGGGCCTCCCGCCCTTCTTGGCCCGCTTCTTTGCGGCGTTGAGGCGGACAATGGACGAGTCTGCCACCGACGAGCTGCCTCCCGGCGAGGCCGTTCCCCGCGACGAGCGATCGTGGAGCGTCTGGCAGCCGACCTCCGACCACCGGCAGGCGAAGAAGCCACGGATGAGATGGGCGAGTAAGGGCCAGCCGGAGTACGACGGGAGGAAGAGCGAGGCGCAGCAGGCGAGCTTGTGAGACGACCACCAAGCGAAGCTGACCGAGCCACCAGAGCGGCATGAACTTGTGAAGCAGCCATATGGCGAGGACCACTTGTTGAATAATGCATACTCGCAGGAGTACTCCCACCAGTACCACTAGTACCATGACCATGACCATGCCTGCTGCCTCCGTCACGGGTCGAAAAACTTTGCCCACCACCACCACCATTGCCACCACGGCTACCACCACGACTGGCACCACGGCTACCACCATTCCGTCCAGACGGCGTACTCCCGTTGCCACTCCCGTACATACTGTATCTTCACAGCTGTACTACTGTATGGAGAGGGGACGTGTAGGGCGTGGACAAGTAGAGTGTGTTGCTGTTGGCAGAGTGCGGTGAGGAGGAGGGGGGGGGGGGGGGGAGGGGGAGGGGAGGGCGGGAGGATAGGTCGAGTATAAAGAATCCTAGGTCGTTGGCTCCACCGTGAATGAATGATCAATATTATGGTTATGATTAATGGTCATGATGGTTGTGGCCAAGGTCTACGATTAATAATGGTTATGATTAATGGTCATGATGGTTGTGGCCAAGGTCTACGATTAATAATGGTTATGATTAATGGTCATGATGGTTGTGGCCATGGTCAACGATTAATAATGGTTGTGATTAATGGTCATGATGGTTGTGGCCATGGTCATGATGGTTGTGGCCATCAGGGATCATCATCATCATCATCATCCCCATCACCACCATCATTATCACCACCCCCCC